GGTGCCTAGTCTCCTTTGATATACCATGGCTAGCTGATATCCATGGAAGGTCTGCCCTTCTCTGAAGAGAAAGAGGAGGAGTGGAGGGAAAGCTGAGTCAGGATATAGAAAAACAAAAGATGAACAATAACAAAGAAACAAAAGTTGGAAAGCCATGCGAACAGGAACTCATCTGGAGGTTAGCTATAGCCAGATCACGGGGAGCCTTGGCGTCCTAAAGGGATTCTAGGAATGTAAAGTAAGGTAACCGTGTATATGAGGGAACAATGAAGTGTATTGTATTCATTTAAATAATAAAGAACTAGCCATAAGTAGGTCATGCTTGGAATCCACCCACGGAGGCAGGAGGAGCAGAGACTCAATGTATCTCAGCTACTTAGAAATAAGTGAAAAATATGTATGTGCCTGTAATCCCAGTTCTCAGAAGGCTGAGGCAGGAGAATGATGAATTCCGGGTAGCTTAACATGACCCCATCTCAAAGAAAGCAGTAATGGGTAAAATTAATTCTTCTCAAAACTCAAGTGGACTTAAGCCCAAACCAAAGTTATGGTATCCATCTCCTGGATGGAACATACCTCATGAGACAGTCTTACTCTATAGTTCAGACTTGTGTCGTTGCAGCTCCTGTGTAGAGCCCTGGCTGGCCTCAAATTCATGGCAATTCTCCTGCCTCCTGAGTCCTGGGATTACATGCCTAAACCCCCATACTTGGTTGTTTAGAAGGGGAACAAGAGTCAGAACATGAAAACCCTGGGCCAACTGCTGAAGGACAGACAGAAATGGATACCAATGGAAAAAGCCTATAGGGACAGAGAAACTTCTACAGCATGCAGTTTACTGGTAAGAAGCACACAACCCAAAGGTTTAGCTTATTTAGGGTTGTGCAACTATAGTAAGTTTTAGAACACTTTTATCCTCCCACCCCCAATAAAGAGCCCAACCCAAGAAGCCATCAGTCCCCATCTACTGTACTGGCTAGTTTTTTGTCACCTTGACCAACCAGCTGGAGTCTGTTTGGAAGAGGGAAGCTCGATTGAGAAAATGCTCCCTCCAGATTACACAAGCTTGTGGTGCATTTTCTTGATTGATATGGAAGGGACCAGGCTACTGTGGGCAGTACCACCCTTGGGCTGTGGTCCTGGGTGCTATAAACACACTCACATATACACACACAAAACCACAGACTGAGCAAGACAATAAACAGCATCCCTCTACGGCCTCTGCTTCAGTTCCTGCCTCCAGGTTCCTGCCCTGACTTCTTTCGACGATGGGCTGTGGTGTGGAAGTATAAGCAAAATAAACCCCTTCTTCCTCAAGTTGCCTTTGGTCATGGTGTTTTATCACAGCAATAGAACCAACCCCTAACCAAAACTTATTCCGGATCCCTCCTCCTTGTCCTAAGCAACCATTAGTCTTTTTCATCTGTTGTGTACAGGCTGCCTGTTCTGGGCATCCCCATGAACTCCATGGACTCCATGGCTGGCACCTTGGCTTCCCTGTCACACCGTGGGTTCATCCTATACGTTCTTCAAAAGATGCTAGTGAAGTAGCCCGGCCAGCTGCCCACGAGCTGGAGGCATCTCGCTGCTCACCCTGCAAAGCTTTCCTCCTTTCCCGGTACTTCTCCACTTCCTTCGCTTCCAGTACTTACCTCCACAGTGAGGAAATGGAGCGGAAGTCCTCGCTAGGAGTCTGAGGAGCCTGAGCTGGGGCATCCCGACAGGGGAATTCCCATTTTGACCTTTGTTTCTGAATGCATCTCATTAAGGCTTCTTTGCAGGATGCTTGGATGTCGGTCCGTGTGGAGGTTGTGGTCTGGCTTTATGAATTAGCCTCACCATCACTTTCCAGCATTTTATGAATGGAAACCCGCTATACAGCTGTCCTCTGTTTACTTTCAGGAAATTAGAAGGAAGTTGTTCTTCCCAAGAAGCCAATAGCCACATATGTCTGGGTTTTTTTGGAGGGAGGGGTGGATAAACTAGAAAAATTGCCAACAAGCCAGAAATCTACTTTAACCTGGGACTTTAACAGGGTTTTCTCTTGTTTAGTTTGAAAGTGAGGAAAAATTATTCAAAAATCTCACTAGTGTGCATTTGCCACATGGTGTGTTCAGCGTGTTGTTGCCAGTTAAGAGTGGAAGACACTAAGGGAAGAGTTTCCTTCCCTCGCTCCCTGTGCAAAGGGAGGGCCGTGTGGCAGATGACAATACCCACGGAAAGTGTGGTTCATGGTAGACTGGATTTTTTTATTTTTATTTTTTTGAGAGCTATCCTTATTTTATATATTTTATATGTGTGAGTAATATGCCTTACAAATATGTCTGTACACCATTTGTATGCCAGGTGCCCTGGAGGCCAGAAGAGGGCACTGAATCTCCTAGAACTGGATTCACAGAGGGCTGAGCTGCCAGGTGGGAGCTGAGGATTGAACCCCAGTCCTCTAGAAGAGCAGACAGTGCTCTTAGCCTCAGCCATGCCTTCATGCCCTAAACTGGATCTTCACGGTTCTGCTGAAGTATGTCTACAGAAGGTGCACAAGCCACAGTGTACAGATAAACAGCACCCTAAATCATGACGCCAAGCCAACCCACACCCCAAAGTCCCCCCCCTTTCTTTTGCTTCCGTTTAGCTGCTCCTTGCGAAGGCAACAGCCTTTCTGTTCTGACCGTTCCTCTGCCTTTGTATTGTAGGGGAAACAAGTCTGTAGTATGTACTCTTGGGAGTCTGAATCCTGTAACACAACATTGTGGAGTCGTCCATAGTACACGTGATAACTAGATCATTCATTCTCATCGTTCTACAGTATTGTACATGTTCAGACTCGGGTTTCCCAATTGAAATAGAGCACCATCCACATGACCCTCCTGCCGTAAGGATATATCCTGTGACCTCTGCTGACCAAGGTTGCTGTAGTCATGGTGACTATTCAGTACTGAGGGATGACCAGTATGGCTGAGGAACTGAATTTTTGTTTGTACATAAGTGTCTTTGGTATAACTAGCCATCTATAGCACTGGCTGCCCTATTGGCTGGTGTCTTAGTTACTTTTCTATCGCTGTGACAAAACAACATGGCCAAGGCAGCTTATAAGAGAAAGCATTTAATTAGGCTTATAGTTTCAGAGGGTTAGAGTCTATGACGGTTGGAGCCAAGGCATGTCTGCAGGAACAGCTGAGAGCACACATCTTTATCCACACATAAGAGGTAGAAAGTAGCCGGGTGGTGGTGGCACACGCCTTTAATCCCAACACAGGTGGATCTCTGTGAGTTTGAGGCCAGCCTGGTCTACAATAGCTAGTTCTGGGACAGACTCCAAAGCTACAGAAAAGCCCTGTCTCAAAAAAACCAGGGAGGGGGGCGATCCCTTCCCAGCAGGTAAGATGGTCGCAGACTTCAGCTTTACATTACACTTGACCACTATTTGCATTTTCTTGCTATTTCTCTGCCAAACTGTCCCTATCGGCCCAAACCCAGCACCATTTCTAGTTTTTTTTTTTTTCTCATTCTTTTATTAACTTGGTTTTTTTTTTTATAACTTCAAACTTGACTAAGACACAATCTGATGACTTCTCTTTGCCTCTCTTCTCTCCCTCCTATCCATAACCTCTGTTACCATTCCTTTCTCTGAGTCACGGCTTTTATAGCTGGTTATGTGACCCATTTTATTTTACCAGGCTCTGTGTGACCTGTGCATTGGAGCCTGTTTGGGTCAGTGTTTATACGACTAGAGACAATGGCTCCCTCACTCCCTTAATCCATCAGTAGCGATAGTTTAGCAGGGAGGGCCGGGGCTCATCCATCCAAACCGGCTGTTGATGGGCCATTCTTGTGTGAACCCCATGTAGGCATATGAAGCTGCTCTGAGTTCACGTTGTGAGGACCTGACTTTGCAAACCCCATTTTAAAGAAGGAGCTTCACCTTAAGCCATATAGTGAGCTGGGGGGTGGGCGATCTCAGATCCAGAAATGTGCTGCCATAGCAGGAATTGGAACAGATACCCTAAAAATAGCCAATTCAGAAGACAGGGAGCAGGGCCATAAAATTTAATGAGATCCAGATGTTCTTGGGAGGCATCCTGTTCTTGAAGATACCTTGTCAGTTATTAATGGCTCTTTCTTAGGTTTTCAGGCCCAAAAACTGACCATTGGGTTCAGAAACTACCTTACCCTATGCCCTCCTTACCCAATCCCAAGATGACAGGACATGAACTCCCCTGATTATGGTATTTCCCCTTTAAAAGTTCTCTCCTCCCAGGGATCCATGCCACACTTTCTGCACCCACCATGCTGGGGTGCTGGAAAGGTGTTAGTCCAAACTCGAGTTTGAATATTATTAAAAACCCTGATGCATCAGAAATTCAGCTCTGCAAATTCATTTGGGGACCAGAAACTCGGGCATAACAACGGTTGCAATGACTGTGTCTTTCCCAGAACTGACATTTTGAGTCCTTCTCCTTGTCTTCTGTCTCTTACAGAAGGAGGACAGCCCCCCTGTCTCCCACAGTGTTCCCCGAGTCTTACAGGAAATGGGATCAAATGCCTTGCATAGAGCTGAGGACTTACTCTGTCACTTATGAGAAGCACCTTGTGTGCCATGAGGCTCCTCATGCACTACCCTTTCGCTGGAGACTACTCTGGTTAAGGCTGGGATAAACATTTAAGAGGCAGTTTAATGCTGTTTCAACGACTTCCCCTTCCATGGGCATTTGACCAGGTTTACCGTACCAAGTATCGGTTTCCTCCTGTAGAAGAAAGTGTGTCACTGGAGGTGGGCTTTGCGGTTTCAGAAGCTCAAGCCAGGCCCAGTGTCTCTCTCTCTTCCTGCTCCCTGCAGATCCAGACGTAGAACTCTCAGCTGCTCTCTCCAGCACCACATCTGCCTGCATGCCACCATGCTCCCCGCCATAGGAACAGTGGACTAAACCTCTGAACTGTAAGCCAGCCCCAAGTAAATGCTTTCTTTTTTGAGGGGTGGTGGGTGGGAGAGGGAAGCTACTTTATTGCACTGCTGGTAAGAGAAAGGCAAGCAGCCCCGCATAGGGCCTTCTGCCCTTGAACTCCGACCATCGCTTCACGCTCGTCAGCTTTAGAGTCCAGGCGAACTCCACCGGGAGAGCCGTAGGTGGCAATGGGGGCAGAGTGATGAGGACCCCCTCCTGGGGATCCTGGGTCCAGGTCAAATATTCTTCCATCCCTAGCATTGTTATCTTTGTGGCTGAGGTCGTTTTGGGAGATTTGAGGTTTATGATTCCATTTTCTGGCCAGTACAGAAAGGTGGCATAAACAGCCGAGTCTTTGGTGGTGTACCACACAACTGTTGTGTTCTCTTCAGACTGCACTCTCCAGGGCTGGGAGGCATAGATGGCCTCCCCATTGATCTGCAGCCACTTGCCCACAGCGAGAAGCCTTTCTTGGAAGATGGGAACCACCAGTCCATCTTTAGGTGGTCCAACGTTGAGAAGATAGTTGCCTCCCAAACTGACTGTCTGAACCAATTCCTCAATGATTTCCTTCTCACTGGCAATGGTGGACATGGTCATGTCACGGCGATAGCCCCAGGACACCCTGTTGATGCTGGTGCACATCTCCCACTTGTGGTCCGGCAAGCTCTGCGGCCTGTGTTTATCCTGACAGTGGTAGTAGCCTCCATGATGGCGGGGAGCAGTTCTGACCCCACCGGTCACTCACTACCACCTGGTCCTTGACAGGGCTATCATTATAGAGCCAAGCAAGGAAAGCTGTGGAGTTCCCCATCAGACCAGATCAGGTCGGGCCTGTAGCTGTTAACAAGGTCATACAGCTCCGGCATTGTTTTCGCGCTGACAAAACACTGAGTCCTGAAACCATTTTTCTTGTCGAGTAGATAGAGTGGATGGAACCACTCCAAGAGCGAGTGGTACAGGCCGTAGCGTATGTTCCTCTTCCGAACAGCAGCTCCCAACTCGCCCACCAAATCGCGATGGGGCCCCACTTCCTTAGAGTTCCAGTTCCAGGACACGGGACTTGGCCAGTTTGTGAAGCCTTCGTGATGCTTTGTGGTCAGAACCACATACTTGGCCCCGGCAGCCTGGAAGAGTTCGGCCCACTGGTCGGACTGGAAGAAACGCGCCGTGAGCTGCGGTCCGAAGTCGGCGTAGCTGAAGCCGGGCGGGTAGTTTTCTTTCATGAAGAGCTCATAGGCCGGCAGCTGCCCGCCTTGCCAGTACCACTCGCTGCCCCATGCCGGCACCGAGAAGACGCCCCAGTGCACAAAGACCCCGAACTGGGCCTCGTCAAACCATGTCGGCAGTGGCCGAGAGTCCAGGCTCTTCCAGTCCGGGGTGTAGCGGCAAGGAGCTCGGGCCACTCGTAAATGCTTTCTTTTATAAGCATTGCATGGTCATGGCTTCTATTTACAGCAATAAAACCCTAACTAAGACACTGAAATCGACACAATCACCAATGATAGCACAGATCCAAGGCCAGGTTGTCAGTGGATGCTGAAACCAAAGATTCCTGGGGAACTGGAGTAGTGTGATTGTATTTTCTCTCTCTTCCTCTCTCTTACATTTATTCAGCGTGTGTATTAGGATGGGTGACACACATACCATGGTGAGCATGTGGAGGTCAGAGGACAATTTGGGGCATTCAGTTATCGCCTTCCACCGCGTGGGACCTGGGGATTGAACTCAGATTGTCAGGATTGGTGTCAGGGGCCTTTCTCCACTGAGCCATCTCACTGGCCCTCATGGGGTTTTAAACTATTCACTTACTTAGTGAAGAAATCACACCTGTGGTGGAGAGATGGCTGGTGTCACCTAAAACAAGAGAAGGGAAACGGCAGCTCTTGATGCGTGCGACAGGAGCGCACACCGCCACAGTCTATCTTTACAAACTGTCTGGCCTCACCGGGCCCACGAGGAAACCATTTTACAGTCCAAGCTTGGACACAATACAAGAGACCTGGACTAAAGGATGTACAGCTCAGCTACTGAGTCTTGTGCTAGGAAAACCATGCATTATTAAAATAAGTGAGCAAGTTTTCATTTTTGGTGGCATTGCTGTATTGTGGAATGGAAGTGGCTAGAACACTCCCTGTAGCCCAGGATGGCCTCAGACTTGTGGGGGTCATCTTGTCTCAGTCTCCCACATGCTTGAACTACAGGTGTTGGTTCACACTGAACTTTTCAAAGAGTCTTAGCCAGGTGGTGGTGGCACACAACTTTGATCCCAGCACTCGGGAGGCAGAGGCAGATGGATCTCTGTGAGTTCAGCCTGGTCTACAGAGTGAGGTCCAGGAGAAACCCTGTCGAGAGAGAGGGAAAGAGAGAGAGATCTTAAATCCATAGAATATTCAAAAAAGAGAGAAAGGGTGTGTCCTTGGAGACACCAAAATCTGAGGTGAAGTGTCCTGATATCTGAAATTTCAAGTAGGTTAGAACGAGAGAGCTGAGCACATGTGGTGCAGTATTATCAACTGGCAATGCTAGCTGGCGTTCTTTTACCTTTCCTAAAGATCAGAACTTTTCCAGAAAGAGCGAGAAAGAGAATGTAAAAGGATATATAAACCACTAGAAGATCTCAGGAAACATCTTCAAAAGCAGACGTGATTACACCAGAAGGCCTGGTGTGGTGGCCGCACATCTGAAATCCCAGCATTTGGGAGGCTGAGGCAGGAAGACATCAAGCTCAAGTCCCTGACTCTAGAAAATGACGTCATGGAAAGAAGGATCGGAGTTATTGCTTCGGAAGGCATCTGTCGGTGCCCGTGCCTCTCTAGCAGGGACGAGACCTACGGGTTGGCTGTGGGTGTGGAGGGGGTGTTTTGACCCTGCCTGATCACAGAAGGCTGCTCGCAACCACAGCCCTTCCTCTTCAGGCTGCCCTTTTGTATGAGGTGGTCAGGAAACCCCTTGCCTCGGCCCTGCGCCCTCACCGAAAGGAAAGCTGCTGCGGGAGGCCCAGGCTCAGCCCTTCCTTCTTCGCAGGACAATGCCTGCGGCTGCACCGCTACTGCCAGCAGGAAATGCCTGGGAGAAGCGAGGTGGCCCACTGCCCAGCAAGACAAGAGGTCCAGGCAGGCGCTTGGGTTTTCCTTTCAGCAGAGTCTGAACCGGGGCCCAAAAACAAGGTCTAAACTCGCGGGCAGCTGCGGGACTCTGAGTGGCCTGGTAAAGGAAACAGGAAGCGTGGAGGAGCTTCCAGGGAGGGATGAGGTAGAAAGGGTCTAAACAGCAGGAGGTGTTCCCCTCAGGCACAGACCCTCTCCAGGCTGTGGGCTGTCACTGTCTTGTCCCCTGGAGCACCACACCTCCACTGTTTGTCTTTCTCAGGAAGCCATTCTCTTCTTGTTTCTGCGGGTCTTTACAGGGCTGGTTCTGGGACCCTGGGCCAAAAGCGTGAGGTGGTCGGCCTGTGTTCTACCACTGTGGTGTTTTTACTTCAGTGGACACCAAGTGCTGGAACTTGGGGAGGAAAAACCAAGACTTTGGCCATGACTGTTCAATTAGACCCAACTGGAAGTAGCGAATAGAGAGCTGAGCCTGCGAATCTAAAGAATGAGAGAGAGGCCAATAGCCCAGAGGAAAGAAACACACTACACAATTGCAACCTGCTAAGGCTGAGTCGGGAAGAAACAGAAAGCCTGTGCAGCAAAGAGATGAGTAAATTACAAAGCCACTCGCAGAGAAAAGCACGGTGGAGTCCCAACTCACGGAAGAGCCCAGCGTGGTGCCCACGCCTACAATCCTAGTGGAGTTGCCAGCCAGCCTGGGCTGCATAGTAAGACCTTGTCCCCAAAACAAGCAAAAAGTCAGTTTGGGTGCATATCTTAACTTCTAGCATTGAGGAGGCAGAGACAGGTGCACATCTTAAATCCCAGCATTGAGGATTTAAGAACTCTGTGAGCTCAAGGCCAGCCTGATCTATATAGCAAGTTCCAGGTTAGCCCAACCTGCTTAGTGAGGCTCTGGCTCAAAAAACATAAATAAATAAAAATTGGGCTTGCTAGGGAGGTTTGACAAGAGAAGAGCTTGTAAGAGATGCAGGAACAGGGGTAACGGGGAAGAGAAAAGGACCAAGAGCTGAGCCATGGTCTCCCTGCCGTTAGTGGACAGTCTTCTTCACTGTCTTTGAGCCCAGCATCCTTAGGATGACAATAAGCGATCCCCCCCCCCCCCAGCATGTGTCACTGCTTGAACCGCAGGACTCTAGTGTGACGGGAACACTAAGGCAGGTGCCACCGCCTCACTTTTGGTTTTCTGATTTTTTTGTTTTTCAAGACAGGGTTTCTCTATGTCACAGCCCTGTCCTGTCCTGGAACTAGCTCTTGTAGACCAGGCTGGCCTCGAACTCAGCGATCCACCTGCCTCTGTCTCCCGAGTGCTGGGATTACACCTCACTTTTAAGTCGAAACCCATACAAGTGCACCTTCTGTTCCAAGTCAGGCTGTAGGGAGCAGAGGGTAAATTCCAGTCTAAGATGTCAGGTCCATGTGCTGATCGTGTGTGTGTGTGTGTGTGTGTGTGTGTGTGTGTGTGTGTATTCACATGCATGTGCACGCGAACACATTCAAATATGGAACTTAGAGGACAGCTTGCAGGGTCAGCGTCTTAGTTACAGTTTCTACTGATGTAAAGAGACAACATGACCACAGCAGCTCTCATAAAGGAAAACATTTAATTGGCACTGGCTTACAGCTCAGAGGTTTAGTCCATCATCCCCATGGCAGGAAGCATGACGACATGCAGGCAGACATGTTGGAGGAGTTGAGAGTTCTACACTTTGATCTACAGGCAGCAGAAGGAGACTGTGTGCCACACTGGGTGTAGCTTGAGCATATGAGACTTCAAAACCTGCCCCCACAGTGACACATTTCCTCCAACAAGGCCACACCTACTCCAGCTAGGCCACCCCCCCCCCATAGTACCATTCTCTATGGACCATGAGTCTATGTGGGCCTTTCCTAGCAAACTCTCACAGCCCATTTGCCCCTTCCATTCGATGGATTGAACTCAGGTCTTCAAGCTTGGCAGCAAACTCTTTCAACTGGTGACCTATCTCACTGGCCTGGTATGCTTTTTTTTTTTTTTTTTTTTTTTTTTTTTTTTTTTTTTTTTTTTTTTTTTGTTTTTTTTTTTTTTTTTTTTTTTTTTTTTTTTTTTTTTTTTTTTTTTTGACAGGCCGAATGATTCATAGTTCCCTCTCCTTTCCCCTCCCACCCGCCTCTGACAGAGTTTTGCTATATAGCCCAAACTGACCTGGATCTTTGCTCCTCCTGCCTCGGCCTTCTGAGTGCCAGAATTACAGCTCTGTGCAACCACACATCTCGGGGTGACTCTCCTACTTAGATCTATGTACGCACATAGACAATAACTAAATTAATTTTTCTACATTTGGTCCAGCCTTAGAAAGGCATGCTAAGCCTGAGGGAAGCTGGAAAAAGGAGAAAAACAGACGTGGGGCCAGATGTGGTATCACAGGCAGGCCTGTAACCCCAGCACTTGGGAGATGGAGACAGAGGGATCTAAAGTTAACAAGCTGGGGGTAACCTGCTCAGCATACAATCCTGTCTCCACAGCAGAAACAGAAACAGTAGTGTGTAAGGATGTGGCGCCGAAAGCGTCAGGCGTCCCTGCCTTGCTGCTGATATGACGGTGACATGAGGACAGTTCCTACTTTAAAGGGACAGTGAATAGGGGTCTCTGGCTCCCCAGAGAGTTAAGGGTGGAGCCCCCACCGACCAGCACCAGACAAGGTTACTCTGTATAGCCCTGGCTGTCCTAGAACTAGGCTGTCCTCGAATTCAGAGATCCTCCTGCCTCTGCATCCCAAGTGCTGGGATTAAAGGTCTGTGCCACCACCACCACTCGTGTGCTTTGTGATTAAGTGTCAAAATACGGAACTGGAGGAGACACGGAGACCCTAGCGACATCTCATTTCGGCTTAACAGTGGTCATCACTGTGGATATGCTGTAACTCCAGCATCCGGGGAGGCTGAAGCAGGAGGTCTTTGAGTTGGAGGCTACACAGTGAGCTCCAGGCTAGTCTGGGTCACGAGGCAAAATCCTGCCTCGAAAGGAACTAAAAAGTGAGGTGACAGTCGTGCTGTGCTTTAAGCGAACTTGCCGAAGCCAGAAAAGACACTTTGAAAATATTCTAATGGTTTGTTTTAAAGAAAAACATTCGTTTGCCTAATTGTGTGTGCACTGCGGCTGGATGGGAGCGGCACGTTCCCAAATTAACCCCTCCCTGGCTGGTCTAGGGAGGCTGGGTGGCGCAAGGCTTGCCCTTGACAGTTTCAGCAGAGAGAGGAGGAAGAGGGGGCGATCTGGCCCCCTCGGTCCCCTACCCACCTTTCGGTATTGCACCTTTCGAACCGGTGACCTCGCGCCTCGGAGTTCCCTCCCCACCACCACCACCACAAGCGCTTGGCAGCGCCAGAGTATTGTCGGGTTTGGCAACCGGGGTGACCGCCCTAAGGGACCGGGTGCTGGCGGGGTTCTCCTTTGTGCGGCAGCTGCGCGCGGCTCCACCGCTAGGGGGCGGCCTGCGCCCCGCAGACCCCGACAATAGGCGAGGCTGGGGAGCCGCGCGGTCCCGGAACTTTCCCGGGGTCGGCGGGACGCTCGGCCGGGCCATGGAGGAGGGGGCTGGCGCCGCGTCCCCGCTCTGGAACTGGGACTACCTGGACCGCTGCTTCGCCCACCGCCGTGTCTGCATCTCCTTCGGCCTGTGGATCTGCGCCGCCTGCTGCTGGATCGCCGCCCACGCGCTGTAATGGGGCTGGGACCCGCGCGAGGGGTGGCGGGCCACCCGCGGGGGAGATTGGGCGCCACTCGCCTCGGCTCCTCTAGGACTCCTAGGGGCAGGGGCGCAAAGGGAGACAGCTCAAGTCCGGGGTCAGATCTGACATTGCTCTATGGACTGAAGTGCGGTGCCTTCTGAATTCCGAGCACGGGGAAGCTGGGCTGTGAGCCAGCGGCAGGAGGCTGGGTGGTGCAGTGGCTGCGGCTTTGATTGGCTTCTGTTGTCAGCCTTTCCTTGCTGTCAGGCGGGGAGCGAGGGCAAGGTGTGAGCCTTTAGACCTCCTGTGAATAATGAGTCTATGCCTCATAGAGTGGATGCGAGTATTAAATGAGGTACGGCAGGCGAAGGACTTAGTAAGTGCTCATTAAACTCCACTACCACTCTGAATCTGCCGCCCACCCTTAGGGACTCTAGTAAGCCTCAATATGTTTTCTAGTTTTAATTTACCCAAAGCTGGAAAGAGGTGTGGCAGAGGCGATCTGACTCCGGCCACAATTTTTGCTTTTGTCTGCCTTGAAGTAGTTTGGCCAGGTAGTCCCTGTCCCCTGAGTTCTGAGAGTGAAGCCTCTTGGTCTTCAGCCACCCTGTCCCTTGCACGGAAATCCAGAGGTAGTTTCCAGGGTGGTGCCACCCAAGTATACCCAGGCAGGATGGAGAGGGTGTGTCATCCCCCTGTCCCCACTTCTGTCACCAGCTCACTTAGCGCTCAGGTGACTGCCACTCAGACTTTCCATGGTGGTTCACGGAGTCTGCAGCCCCACCACCTAGTGGTTGGAGTCCAGGAAAGACACTCCGGCCTGGGTGCATGTCTTCACGCCCTTGGTCCCTGCCTGCCCCAGCCCCTAAGGCGGGTTCTGTTAGCGCCCTTTCGGATGAGGAGCCTGCTTACCGAGGGGACAATAGTCCTGCCTGTCGCACAGGCAGGCTTCCGGGACTGAGCTCTCTGAGTCGAGGGTGCAAAGGAAGAGGATGCTGCGGCACCATCTCCTTTGTCACGCCACTGTCTCCTTTGTTCCTCAGCACCCCCTGTGCCGCCAACACGGTTAGGCACGCTTGCCCCTGGAACCAGGGCTTCTAGTAATAACACTCTGAGCTTCAGGCTTGGGGCTGAAGACCCAGAAATGTTTAGGGTGTTGGGTAACAGCCTTCCTTCTGTAACTATGTTCCTTGGGACCAATGCTCAGACCCTAATTAGTTTAGTAAACACCAACCACCCTGTCTGAGTGAATGAAGCCAGAGCTGCTCCCAGCCCATTTCTCTATAAAATAAATAAAATAAAATAACCAGCAGGGAGACACCTGAACCTCCGTGTGGTGGAGACAGCACTGATGATCTTGCCAGAGAAGTTCCAGCCTCTGCTAGTCTGCCCTGCCCTCTGTATGGCCCAGGTGTGAGGAAGGTGGGGGGAGGGCTAAAGGGAGAAAAGCCAGCGATTTGGAGAGCTAGGGCGAGGGGCCCAGAGCACCGTGCTGCCACTCCGATTTGTTTTCCCAGCCTTATGAATATGCACAAATTGCTCCGCTGGCAGAGCCTGCCACCCACTGCACAGATGGACTGGATAGATTTCACTCTAACTTCAAAGACGCAAATTGGCTTTTAAATTTAGGCAATTATCGCTATAGTTAGCTGTGGCGTGTGTGTGTGTGTGTGTGTGTGTGTGTGTTGTGTTGTGTTGTGGGGGTGACTTTTAGAACCTGTTTTGTTTCCCTTTCAGGAAATAAAACCCAACAGCTAGCTTGTGGGGGGGGGGGGCTGTCGGTCCGTTGACCCAGCCTGATTTGGAGGATTCCCATATCTTTTCTTAAAGATAAGACCTACTATGTAGTGCAAGCTGGCCTCGAACTTGAAACCCCCTGCCTCTGCTTCCCCAGTGCCAGGACCACAGGTCCTGAGGCTTGGAAGAATCTGAGCTACATCCCCCTTGCCCAGCTGGTCTCCCGCTTCTGTAGAAGAAGACAGTATCTCTACAATGAGAGCTCCAGTTTCCCGGCATGGCCTTGTGGTTCTCCTTCTGGTCTTTTCTTCCCCACCTGTAGACTGAATCCAGAAACATGTGATACCCCAGGGCATGGGGGGAGCCGATGCTTCACAGACCAGAGGTCATAGCTGCCTTTTCTAAGGTGTTGTTTCTGGCCTCGCCTCCAAATCACAACCCCTGTGTTCTGTTCACACCCCTCCCACCCCAGGATTCTCTACCTGAGATGCACAAAAAAATGTGGCCGGGACCAGTCAACACTGTGTGCTGCCTTCTGCCTCCTGACCAGTCTGTGTGACACGGTGGGGGCCATTCTGGCCAGACAGCTCACGATCCAGGTATGTCCATCACAAGCATGGCTTCTGTTTCTCTGTGGCAGCCACACAGGCCTCTGTCTTTCCCCTCAGCCTACAGAGAAGTTTCCTCTCGGAACCCGTGCCTTGTCTTTTCTGTTTTCTCAAGCCCCCCCCCCCCCCGTGTATCATCACCTCCCTCAAGCACCTCAAACATTTGTTCAAAAACACCTTCTAAAGCAAAGCTTCCTGGGGCTGCAGCGATGTCCCCGTGAGTAAGAGCACACAATGCTCTTCCAGAGGATTGGAGTTTGGTCCCCAGTACCTGTGCCAGGAAACCTACACCCATGTGAGCTCTAGTTCCAGGGGATCCCATGGCTCCTAGTGTGCCTGTACACATGTGGCATGCGCACACACACACACACACACGCACACACACACACACACACACACGCACACACACACACACACACATAAAAAATAAACTCAAAGAAGGCCTCCCCTGTTTAAAATTGCGGCACATCTCTCCCACAAGTGCTCCGAACTCCCTTCTCCTGCTGTGCTTTCTTAGTTGCATGTCTTAGCTTCCAATTGCTGCGACAAAAGGCCATGACCCAGGCCATATATGAAAGAAAGCACTTAATGGAGCTTATGGTTTTAGAGGGTGTAGGGTTCACGATAGCAGCGCAGAGGCATGGTGGCAGGAACAGCTGAGAGCTCACATCTTGATCTTCAAGTAGAAGACAGAGACAGTGGGAAGGGCATCATTCTTTTGAACTCCCCCCCCCCAGTGACACACCTCCCCTAACAAGGCCACATCTCCTAATCCTTCCCAAACAGTTCCACCAACTGGGGACCAGGGATTCTAAGCTAGGAGTCTGTGGAGGTCACCCTCATTCCAGTCACCACAATGAGCTACTGTCACCAGAGCAGGGACTTGCTCAGTGCTGTGTTGTCGCTGTACACAGCTCATAGTGGATGCTCAACTAGTTCTCATTGTTACTACTGTCAGCTGGGCTGAGACCTGGCAGTGGCAGCTGAGTCCTTCCCCAGGCGGTGATGTAGGATTTGGGACAGGGAAAAGCAGCTTCTGGTTTCCCCAAAGTGTAGGACCTCAGATAAAGGCTTCTAGCCCTAAACATACTTCCCAAGAAATATTTTTTGAGCCCCACTGCAAGGAACTCAGGATTTGATCTTTGTGGCCACCTAGGCAGAAATAAAGAAGAACAGTCTAGTGGTCAGGACACTGGCTTGGAGGGTTGAGCTGCTGAGGACAATACCCTGATGGCTTTGGACCAGACTCCCTGTTGGCTTGTGGGATAGAATGAGGTTCTGCTTGTGCCCAAAAGGGATGGCTGGCTGGAGTTTGTTAAATATTTAACTGCATCTTGGTGCTAAGGTTCCCTTGTGTGTTAATTCATATAGTCCCAAAGCTGTCCAATGATATGGGTCCCAAAATCATTCATCTGCTACAGATGTGGAAACTGAGGCACAGAGACGCTTCTCTAAGGCCACCCTTTAATGCATACCTGGGCCAGGATTTCAAAGCCACAATATACACTCTTTCCACTGGTGATGGTCTTGGCTCTGGTATCGTTGACTTTCTCTGAGTCCCAGTCCAAATACTTGCCATGAATTGTCTCCAGAAACCTACATGGCAGTCATTGAGGGAGGCCTGGTTATACGCCGATTTTACAGATGGGGAAACTGAGGCTTAGAGAGTTTCCATGTCTGGTATATAGCTCCACAGCAAAAGCTACCCATGCCACAGATATGGCCCAGTGTAACCCACGTGGTGGAGGGGATCCCAGGGTGGTCGTGCTGTGGTGTCTGCAGGATGACTCTGGATTGACCAGACTCCCTCTCCATCTGCTTCCAGGTGTTCACGGGCGCCTACCTAGCAGTTGTCGACTTTGGGAACTTTGTGTCCATCCTCTTCCCAATCTGTGGATCCAAATCTAAGTCGAAGTCTGGTGAGTGTGCGTACGCAGCCATCCCATCTGCCTACATTCTTCTTCTGTTTGTCCATTCGCTCAGTACCTGTTCCTTACCACACCCTGAGCCAGACAGAGGAACAAGGTCCCTGACCTCGGCCAGGTGAGAAGGGTCATTGTAGCTGGCGCCTAGGGGACAGACCTGTGGGAAAGCAGGTGACACCGGGACTGGTGGCAGGCACAGGCAAGCAGACCACAGTTGTTGCATTAGGAGCGGCAAGGCTGCGTCCCCGGCACCCGGCCGCCTGCATGGCTAGTTTATGCCCAGAAATAATTACACGGAAACTGTATTCTTTCAAACACTGCCTGGCCCGGCTAGTTCCAGTTTATTATTGGCTAGCTCTTACATATTGTTCTAACCCATTTCTAATATTCTGTGTAGCCCACGAGCTGGCTTACCAGGGAAGATCTTAACCTGCATCTGTCTGGAGCGGGAGAATCATGGCGACTCCTCACTAAGCTTCTTTCTCCCAGCTTTCTCTTCTGTTTACTCCACCTACCTAATTTTCTGTCCTATGAGGGCCAAGGCAGTTTCTTTATTATTAACCAACGAAAGCAACAGATAAGATACAAGACCCACCTCCATCACACAGTGGGCCAAGGCCAGGAGCAGTGATGGCACATGGCTTCAGGGGACAATGTGCAAGCCTGGCTGACCAAGCCAAGCCACACAGTTTCTGGAAATTGATGGCAGAAACAGGCATGGATCACTTCAGCAAGAGCAGGGCTAGAGGGACCAAGATGGGGTGAACAGCCCTGAGTACGTAGGACTGGGGTTCCTGAGAAGAGAGAGGTGATCTTAGACTCTTGTCCAAAGGCAGGATGGTCACATGAGTGGGTCAACCCAGTCCATGTAGTTCAGAAGAAAAATATTCTTTAAAATGCCCAGAAGAGTGTGTGTCGCATGTTCCACAAATGTCCTCTCATTGGAGGAGGTGGCTTGACACACAGTCTCTTACTCACCTGCGCCAGTGACGAGTGGTTGGGACATGGTCACTGGGATGTTGTTCTAGGAGGGGTGTGACTGTAGGGACGTGGTCACTGGGATGCTGTTCTAGGAGGGGTGTCATTGTAGGGACATGGTCACTGGGATGCTGTTCTAGGAGAGTTGCGACTGTTGGGACATGGTCACTGGGATGCTGTTCTAGGAGGGGTGTGATTGTAGGGACGTGGTCACTGGGATGTTGTTCTAGGAGAGTTGTGACTGTAGGGACGTGGTCACTGGGATGCTGTTCTAGAAGGAGTGTGACTGTCGGGACATGGTCACTGGGATGCTCTTCTAGGAGAGTTGCGACTGTCGGGACATGGTCACTGGGATGCTGTTCTAGGAGAGTTGCGACTATCTGCATAGATACCAGCATTCATGGATACCTCAGATTCCCTCCGAGGAAGACAAGCAGTAGGCACTGTGGGTAGAGGCAGTTTCTGGAAGAGAACTTGACTCCAGGGATTTGAAGGGGGTCACGGTCTGCCATAGCAAGACACAGGAGCAGAGGTAGAGTCTACCCCAGCTCCTCCCACACCAGCCATCTGGTGAATTCAATGGTCCAGGAGCATCATGGAGGGGGTGGGGGTTCTGGTGTTTCCTGCAGGTCGGAGCAGCAGAGAGAGGAAGAGAAGAAGGCATCTGAGAGCCAGTGTGTTTGCCCTGGCTCTGCCTCTGTGCCTGGGTCCAGGCTGGGCGATCTGGGCTGCTGTGCCCAAGGCTTCAGCCCCAGTCCGAGGGCCACAGCGGAGGCTGCTGGGAAGCCTGCTACAGGTAAGGCTGAGCATAGGAAAATGGGGTGGTACAGGTCACTTCCCTCCTTGTGCATCTACTTGGTGCCTCCCCGGGAGAGGGTGAGGGCTCTTGCCACTGGAAGGAGAGACTTTCTAAAAGCAGAAGATATAATATTGGGTTTATTGCCACTTGGGGCATAAATACAGTCTCTACACATCCATTCTTGCAGGAAAACCCAGAAGTCTTCGGCTACCTGCTGGGTGGCATCGCTGCTTTTGGCTCCTGGGCATCCCGGATCCCACCATTCTCCAATATCGTGAGCCTGGGGCGGGGGCTGGGGTTCTGGGTCATGTGACCAGTCTCGGGGCATCGGGAGATCCTGTGTGGGGCACACTTGTGCTTACGTTTTTCTGAGGAACTAGAGTGTGACGGCAGTGGGGTGTGTATGTGTGTGTGTGCACATGTGTCCATGTGCGTAGGTGTGTGTGTGCGTGCATGTGTGTCCGTGTGCATAGGTGTGTGTGCATGCATGTGTGTCTGTGTGCGTAGGGGTGTGTGTGTATGTGTGTGCACATGTGTCCATGTGCGTAGGTGTGTGTGTGCGTGCATGTGTGTCCGTGTGCATAGGTGTGTGTGCATGCATGTGTGTCTGTGTGCGTAGGGGTGTGTGTGTATGTGTGTGCACATGTGTCCATGTGCGTCTGAAGGGCCATGGCTGAACAGTGGAGTCCTGGGACCTACAGAAACCTTCCAGGAAGTCTGAGTTGCTTCTCCCTACTTCCTGTAGCCCAGGAAAGTAGAGCAGGAAAAGGTCTCAGGGGTGGGACAGATTAGAGTCTCACAACAACACAAGGAAGGCACGGAAGTTCAACACAGCATTGGCAGAATTTCCAAACGTCTGGGCCGTGGGAAGATTTATCGGCCAGGCCTGTTGAGGTCAAATAGGATTTGTCTTTGGGGAGCTCTCAGTCCTGTGGAGACTCAGATGGGACAGTGAGGGGACTCCCTGCTCTCCAAACAATGGAAACAGTGTTTGGTTTGGGGAACAGGCAAAGGCCCCTGTGCTGACTGAGTGCGGGTAGAAACCATTACAGTTTAGTGGTTTTCAAAGGCAAGGGGGGCCAGTGGAGGCAGACACCAAGAAGGGGCTGTCTGTCCATGGCAGAGGGCATGGAAAAGCCGCCACACAGGGCAGTGCCTGAGTGAGCTTTGGGACTGGTGTAGAAACCACCCTGCCAGGTTTTCTCTGTGGAAGATCCTGCTGTCATGTTTCTGCCTCTGTGGCAGTACCAGCTTGGGCCCTGACACCCGAGAGTGAAATGGGCCTGTCTTTTGGTCTGACGAGAGCCACTTTGCTGGCAGCGCCATGCTTTAGTCCAGAAGAGCAGGGTGTGGAGGCAGGCGGATCGGAACTGTGTGCATAAAGACTCCAGCTGTGCCTCGAGGCCTTGGAGTCCGGGAGTCCTGGCTCCAGAGCTTCCCAGACTGACTGCTGCCGCCTGTGAGAGTCTCCAGGAAGGGGGTGGGCCATCACAAGGTAGGGAGACCTTCCAGGGACCAAGGGCAGTATCATGACTACCTGTTCTAGTCCCCTGGGAACTCCAGTGGGGTGGTCAGGCTGGGGACCTTACAGACCCTTAACGGCTCCGAGAAACACCCAGGGTGTTGTGGGAAGGAACCATACAAAAGGGCATCATTACCATTAGGCTATGGGGCCAGGGACCAGGCCCACCCTCACACCCAGGGACTCCACAGATGGGTGCTTGGCTGGGCCTCTCTATTCACTGGCCTTCCGCAGATGGCAGCCAGAAGAGAGGCCGGGAAGAGAACTGGCTGAGATACAGCCCGTGTGTCCTCCTGGCAGTTTCTGTTTGTCTGTGCAGTGCTGAGCTTTTGACCCAGGACCTCATGTGTTCTAGGCAATCATTCTACCACTGAGCTGCCTCCCAGCTCATCTGAGCCTTCTTTGGGAGATTTCAAACAAAAATGAGAGAAAAGTCAGCTAAAATACACCTTTCTCCTGAAATTTGTTCCATCCCTTAGTCGACCTAAATAGTTCTAAATATCGTCACCTAACAAGGAAATCAGCATAGACATAAACTTTAATATATTTGCGGTTTAGTATGTAGTCTTCTGTATGCATGTATAAATTTATATGTAAAGTGACTTTTTAAGTGTTTATTTATCTGGGGGTTGGAGGTTTGGCACGTGTGTACCCTGGCTCAGGTGTTGTGAACACAAAACAGCTTGCGGGAGTCGCTTCTTTCTTCCTACGATGTGGGTTCCAGGGATCCAGCCTAAGCTGTCAGCAGCAGGTGTCTTTACCTGCTGAGCCACTGGCTCTAAAGCGACTGTATACCTACAGAGACTCCTTACATAAATGTCGCATATGTCCCTGTTTGGTAAGCCAATATCTTCACTGTTCGTTCTCCCAGAGTGTCCCCTTGGCTTCACGACTTTCAGAATGTCATCTCTCATTCCCTTGATCCCCCTGTTTGGTGTGGTTCCCCAGGGGACAAGCTGGGCCGTGGCTCTGTTATAACTTGGGCTCCCTCATTTTCCTCAGCCGGCATTCCCGCGTTCCCTCCCACTGGCAGGAGCTGAGCATTGAAATGGGAGGGTGGCTGGTCTGCCCCCAGGAGCACTCTGAATGTGTAAAGTCTTGCATCCCTCCATGTCCGAGGGACTTGCCTGGTGTGACACGGTCCAGAAGAGAACCGGTGCCCCATAGGGTGGAAACAGTAAGGAAGGTTTCCAGGGTTAAGATGAAGTCAGATTCTGAGGAAAGAGTAGGAGGTTGTCAGGCAAAGGCAGCAGCTTGCAGAGTAGCTAGATGCCTAGCAGGTGGAGCACCCTTTGTGAGCGGCCACTTGTAGAGGGCTCACCATCTGCCGTCGAGAGCGGGGGTCTCAGGGTCCAGTGTCCTCCTGACCAGTCCCTCCTCTCTCTGCAGTGTCGGGGGAAGTCATTCTCCTACATTCACCTGTGGACTCGGTTCCTGTCAGCTCTGGCTGGCCTCCTCTACGCCTCAGCCATCGTGGCCCATGACCGGCACCCTGAGTACCTCCTCCAGGCCACACCCTGGTTCCTGATTTCCCTGGGCCGAGCTGCGCTGGACCTTGCTGTATCCACCCAGGCCTCATGGCTGTGGAGGCTGGATTGCCTGCAGCCAGCGGCCTTGTCCTACCTCCCACCTGCCATGCCCTCTTTCGGTCTTGTTGGGTAGCATGCTGGCCCAGCAGTCCAGTGAGTGATTTGTCACCTGAAACAGGTGGACACCACTGCGGTGACCTTGACATTCAAGAGCTTTCCCAGTTCAAAGACTACCCTCTCTTGCCCTGAGCACGGGAAGCTGGAAAGCTCTAAGGCTTGGGGTCAAAGGCCACAGCTCCAGGCTCAGTTCTGCTTCCTCCCCAGCATCTCTCCAGGGATCCTGCCTCCTCTCCTGTCAGGCCCCTCTGAGGGGTCCTGTGGGCTGGCCTGCTGCACGGGCTCATTCTGTTCTGTGCGCTGTTCTCTTCTGCTGCTGTAGAAATCAGAGGTGACAAATGCCGCCTTCGGTCGGTGGCTGCTGAGCCCACTCAGCTCCTGGGGCCCCAGGGGTGCTGCGTGACGTGCTGTCACCCAGGTGACCTTGCGTGAGTGTTTTCAAGGGCAAGGGAAGCTGAGTTGGTGGCTGAAGGAGGCCGTTGGAGGTGCTGACAGCTTCTGAATGGGATCCTGCGGTGGTGGCAGTGGGAGAGTGTAGATTACCCAGAAGTCCAAGATCAAAGCAGGCCTCGTGCCTTCTGACCTGTGACCTCCAGAATTCTTTAGCTGCAGCTTTATATTGGTTTTCCTTTATGAGGCAAGCTCTCGGTACGTAACTAAGGCTAGCCTTCAATTCAGATCCTCAGGCTTCAGCCTTGGAAGTGCTGCCACAGGCAGGGGTCGCCACAGCTGGCATTGCCTCCAGCGGCTGTCTGTCTGTCTTTAGCAGCCTGCCTTCTTTCCAGTATCTCTGCATGTCTTTCCTTCTAAGGACTCCAGGCATCCTTGTAGGTCCACTTTGGCTCTCCTCTCAAATAAGCCTCTGATTTCATGTACACCGCATGTGTCTTCCCCCACCACGTGTGCCATCACGATAAGGCAGGCCCTGAGGAAAGATGTTTTCTGAACGTTTCTGTGTCACAAGCCTTTATCAGAGAACCGAGAGACAGAGAAAAACTGATTGGGCTCTGACTTCAAGATGTGCTCTGTCTACCTGGGACAGGATGGCTTCAGGGAGGGACTAGGGCAGGCTGCTGGGGGCAGCAGGGTGTGGCAGTCTGCGCTTCTGCGTCAGTCTACCTTAACTTCCGCATCTCAGATCATCTTTCTGTCCTGTGTGATCAAGAGCAAGATGAGGCGCGCCTTCGGGTTTGCTGCCGAAGCCAGAGAGGGCCCCGATACACAAGCCCTTTTGACGTGCGCAGAGAAAGAAGACAATCAGGAGGCCGGGATCGAAGACAAGGTCTCTCTGGGTAGAAATGGTTTGCGGACTGGGTGCACAAAGGCGAGAAGTTCTGGGAACCTGGGACCACCCATGCTAGGTTTTTTGTTTTGGTTTAGTTTGATTTGGTTTGGTTTTTCGAGGCAGGATTTCTCTGTGTTGCTTTGGAGCCTGTCCTGGAACTAGCTCGTATAGACCACTGTAAGTTGGCTTCAAACTCAGAGATCCGCCTGCCTCTGCCTCCCGAGTGCTGGGATTAAAGGCGTGCACCACCACCACCCGGCTCTATGCTAGGTCTTTTTTTTTTAATATTCATTTATTTATTATGTATACAATATTCTGTCTGTATGTCTGCAGGCCAGAAGAGGACACCAGACCTCATTACAGATGGTTGTGAGCCACCATGTATGTGGTTGCCGGGAATTGAACTCAGGACCTTTGGAAGAGCAGGCAGTGCTCTTAACCACTGAGCCATCTCTCCAGCCCCTATGCTAGGTCTTTAAAAAAGCTAATTTTTATGTTCAAAGCTCACACGATCCTGAATGCAATGGGATCCTCCAATTTTCCAGGTCCAAAAATTCTTTTAGTGTTTTTTGTTGTTGTTATTGTTGGTGGTTTTGGGGTTTGTTCTTTTTTTTTTTTTTTTTGGTTGTTTCACTTTTAAGTTCCACAAGGCATTCTCGCAGCTGCGTAGCTGGATAAAAGAGTCCCTTGTGTTATTCAGTAATCCACATACTGCCTACATCAGTGTCTTGATTTTATAACAATTGGGCTTTCCCACCCTTCGCCCATAAAATCGCCTTCCCACTTTCCCATGTATCTTTGATGTCATCGCTACCTCCTGACAATCCCGGAGCATGGCCAATGTTCGTTCCCACCTTTGCACATCTGTGTGATGCTGTTTCTGGAAAACTGGCCCAGGGCACAAGGACTCATTTGTATTTGAGGCCACTGCAGTTTAACTGTCCCTGCTTGGAGGCTGGTTTTGCTAAATGCTCATCTTGGGAAGTGTTGCTTGTGATAATGCCCAACATTTATGCTATAATCTACCACGAGCGAGAATCGATATGTCTGAGGCACGTGTTTGTCTCCTTAGTGTTGCGGTGTTGGGGCTGACCAGAGCCTTCTTCCTGTTACACAGACTCTACACTGCACTCCGGCCTCCTGTCTCTTTCTGCTTGTTTCAGACTGGTGACTCTAACTGAGGCAATCTGTCCTCATCAAAAGACCCATTGTGGAAGCTTGTATGAAGATAAGCAGCTCCCCTTTACTAATTTGGGGGGACTAAAGTGGTGTCTTGTAAATGGAGGTTTCTCTCCCACCCACCAATTCCTGAATAGCCACTCAGAGGCTTACAAACTGGCCTTTTTAGCTCAGGCTTATTACTAGATAGCTCCTACATTTAACCCATTTCTATTAATCTGTGTACCACCACATGCCCCGTGGTGTACCAGTAATGCTGTGGCATGTTGTTCCTTGGGTGACTCCAGGACTTTTCCCCAACCCCACCTTCTTTTTCCCTGTATCTCTGCTTGGATTTCCTGCCTGGCTCCATTCTACCTGGCTATTCGTCAAAGCAGCTTCTTTATTAACCATTGGTAATAAGACATATTCACAGCATGCAGAAGGGCATCATCCCACATCAGTCTCACCTGCTGCATGGCTCCTCAGCACTTCAGGTCCCTTTTACAGAGCACGGACATGAAGGAGGCTGGGATTCCTTTACCAAAAGGACTAGGAAATGGGAAAAGAGGGGGTGCGTGAAAAATTAAAAAGTAAAACTTCTCCCCGGAACATTCTAGGCACAACAGTGTAGCGCGAGCTGACAAAATAGAAGGTACTAGTATGTGTATAACAAAGAGAGTGGGGGTGTTTGGGCTCCGAGTTTGCAGGAGGGTTCAGGGGACACTTATTTCCTTCACTGTGGCAGCTGTGCTAAAGTTGTTCCTCTGCAGGGAGCTCGCAGTACAGAGGTCCGTGTGACTCCGGGGAGACAAGGAGAACCCTTTGGGTGTCTGCCATGGTCCCTGTAGGTGTATCCAATGTTTGGACATTGTCACCCACTGTAGTCATCCACACAGTTAAGGTGGTGGTGGCGCACGCCTTTAATCCCCGCACTCAGGAGGCAGTGGCAGGTAGATCTCTGTGAGTTCAAGGCCAGCCTGGTCTACAAGAGCTAGTTCCAGGACAGCTCCAAAGGTACAGAGAAACCCTGTCTCGAAAAAACAAAAACAAAACAAACAAACAAAAATCTCATGCCTGAGAATCAAACAATCAAGTTACAAAAATAAATAAATAAATCTAGCAATGTTTAAAGTAAGGCCATGATCTTGGGCCAGACTATGTTCATTCATAGTTGTGTGTGTGTGGGGAGGGTGAGTTGTGTCTTAGACACAGCTGCTGACAGTAAAAGTTCTCAAAGTGTGGGCTCTGGACCAGATGTCCCTACTCTAAACCCAAAGTGGCCTCTAGCAAGCTTTCCCAAGGTCACATCAAGTCGGAACCACTGCTTTGAATCATACTGTACTCAGTACCTGCTGTGGTGGCTCCCGGATTCTGAGCACACAAAGATCTTCAGAAAGCCGCTCTTTTCTGAGACAGGGTTTCACCTGCTATGTGGATCAGGCTGGCCTCGAACTCACAGAGATTCACCTGCCCCTGCCTCCTGAGTTCAGAATCAAGGGCATGCCCTTTTGAATAAAATGAGACCATCATTTTAGAAAGTGCCTCCTGGCTTTACAGTTTCTCTTTGTTACCCTTCTGTTTCTGCTTCCAAGAACTCAGATTGGGTGCCTCTCACCAGCCTGGGACACTGCAAGCCGCTGAGGACAATGACAGCCATCAGTCGCTACATGGAGCTGACCATTGAGCCTGTGCAGCAGGTGAGTGGTGCTGAGTATCCAGGTGGAGCGGAGAGAGCAGCCCTGGGGGGCTTCCTGGGGGAGAGGGCACTTCAGCTGCTGGGATGCATCTAGAGCTCTCCAGAGTGGCAGAGGAGGGGAGCCCACGGGAGGAAAAGTCCTCTTCCCTCTGCTCTCTTGGGTACCATGGCTGAGGACTGGAAATCGAACAGATGAAAGAGAAAGAAACCTATTCATTACACGGGTGTTTACAAAGGAAAATGGGGCTCAAGGAAGTCTCCAGATGGTTGAGGTTTCTAACCCGTCTCAAGTACAGGAAAAAGGCCTAGGGCCTAGGGTTGTGGGGTCAGCAGGTGAGTTAGGGAAGGAGAGGGAGGGGAGTGTGGAACTCAGGGCTGTCTTCTTGTGCGGTGAGAGTCTCAGGTGGCAGATGGCAGCTGTGCCTAGAAGTCGCTTACCTGGGGGAGGAGGGCGGGAATGGGTGTTTCCTTTACAAACATGAATGGCTATGCAGAAAGGAAATGTACAGCCGGCCTCTTTTGAAGATTGCAGTTTTTATTTACTTAAGTGGTTTTTCATTGTTATCTATCCATCACAGATGGCTCCTTATTACCCAGAGATATTTTCACACCAGTGCACACTGTATGTGTGCTGACGCATGTTATATGCATGTATGTTCCCCACCTCGTGTATCAGTACTTGATACATTGCTGAGACAACGACAAACCACTTCAGGGAGCTGGGGGTGACTTGGGCTCACAGTTCCACCATTGTGGGGTGACTCAGATGGCTGGTCACATGGCGTCCGCAGGCAGGAAACGGGAAGGGATGGTTGCTGTGTGCAGCTTCAGGACCCAGTCCGGGGACGAGTGCTGTCCGCTCCTAAGATGGATCTGCCCACTAACCAAGGGGCTGGTATCCAGGTCCTGTCAAGCTGTATCAGCCATCACGTTACCCCTTGCTTCCGGACTCTTCTTTCTGCCCCCTCCCCTCTCCCCCTTCCCTTTAGTTCTCTCTGTTTTCCTGGGCAGTGTCTTAGTTAGGGTTTCTGTTGCCGGGGAGAGACAGCATGACCACGGCAACCCTTACAAATGAAAAGATTTAACTGGGTTGCTTATAGTTTCGAGGTTTATTCCATTATCACCATGGTGGGGCATGGCTACATGCAGGCAGACATGCAGCTGGAGAAGGAGTTGAGAGTTCTACATCTTGGTCCAAAGGCAGCAAGAGTCTCTGTCCTACTGGCCAGACTTGACTTTATAGGGTCTCAAAGCCCTCTTCCACAGTGGCACACTACTTCCAACAACACTACCCCTATTCCACAAGGCCACGCCTCCTAATAGTGCCACTCCCTGTGGGCCAAGCATTCAAACACATGAGTCTCTGAGGGCCTTTTCTATCAAACCACCACAGTCAGGTTTACTTGTGCCCATGTCGTAGACACTTACATAACCATGTCTGATATAAGATAAGGAACCACACATGAGAGAAAGCATGTAATAATTTACCTTCCTGAGACTGATTTAATTCTCTTAGTGTGACTCTCTGGAGTCGAATCTATTTTCCTGCAAATAACCTGGCAGTGTTTTTTCTTTAAGCCCACTCCATTGCGTATGTAAGCTACACTGTCTTTATTCTTCGGTTGAATACCTGGGTTGGTCCCACAGCTTAGGTACTGCACATAGTATCACAGTAAGCACTGATGCGTGGGTGTCTCTGTGATGCTTTGACTAGGAGAGGTCCCTCAGGCTCATACCGGAGTGCTAGCTGGGCCCTGTGCTGGATCTGTGTTTAGTTTTGTGAGACTTTGCCATACTGACTTCCCAATGGCTCGGCTAGTTTGTACTGCCACCAGTAAATGGGGAAGGGTCCCTATGTCTGTGTCTTTGTCGGTGTTTGTTGTTGCTCTTTTCATTCTCTCTCTGTTTGTTTCTCTGTTTCTGTCTGTCTCTCTGTCTCTGTCTCTGTGTTTATGTGTGCACGCGCGCATGCATGAGCACACGTGTGTGTGTGTGTGTGTGTGTGTGTGTGTGTGTGTGTTGTAATAAGAGCGGCGGGGCTGCGTCCCCGCACCCCGGCCGCCTGCTAGCTTATGCTCCGAAATAACAACACACAAACTGTATTCTTTTAAACACTGCTTGGCCCATTTCTATCTAGCCTCTTCTAGGCTAATTCTCACACCTGGACTAGCCCATTTCTAATAATGTGTATAAGCACCCCAAGGTGCGCTTATCGGGAAGATTCTAGCCTACATCCATCCTGGGTTGGAGCTTCATCACGTGTGTCTGAGAGAGGAGAGCTATCGCGTCTCTGAGCTCACTTCCTCTTCCTCCCAGCATTCTGTTCTGTTTACTCCACCCACCTATGTTCTAACCAATAAAATGGGCCAAGCCAGTTTCTTTATTAGCCAATGACCTTCCTCCATCATGTGGGGGGGGGCAGAAGAGGACATTGGAACTGGAGTTACAGGCAGTTGTGAGCTATATGATGTGCGGAGGGGCTGGGATCTGAACTCGGGTCCTCCAGAAGGCAGCATGTGCTCTTAGCTCCTGATCATCTTTCCAGACCTGCTGCTTGTTTTCTTAATGACTGCCATTCTGACTGGGGTCATATACATTTTCAATGTAATTTTAAATTAAGAATTCTCTGGTGGATAGTGAGGTTGAATACTTTTTTGTATGTTTATTGATCACTTATATTTCATCTTTTGTGGACTGTACATTTCATTAGAATATTTATTGACTGAGTTGATTGGTTTCTTATTGTTTAGTTTTTTCACTCCTTTGTATATTCCAGATGTTAATACCTGATGTATAGATTGTCAGCATTATTATTATATAGTCCAGAAAGTAATGTCCGTTGGCAAAGGTTTTTCTCCCCTCCAGTAGGCCGTCTCTTTATTTGATGAACTATTTCCATTGCAGTTCAAAAGCTTTTTAATTTTATAAGGTTTCATTTATCATCTCCTCAGCGACTGGAATCCTATTCAGAATATCCGTGCCTGTGCGTGGATCCTGAAGTCTTTGCCCACTTTTCCTCTAAGGATTTCAGAGCTTTAGGTCTTACGTTAAGGGCTTTGGCTCATTTGGAGCTGCTGATCTTCATCTTGTTGTTTTGCTTTTGTATTAGGTTTTTGTTGTAGTTGTGATTTTGATTCTTTTCTTTCCCTTGAGATGGGTTCTTAGCTTACAATGAAGCTACATAGACCAGGCTGACCTTGAACTCACAGAGCTCTTGCAAATCCAGCACCATCCACATAAGGGACTTGAGCACCCCGAGTTCCAGTGTCCATGACAGTCCTGGAAGGAGTCACCATTTTGAGGGATGACTGTGCTTTCTAGGCAATTATGAGATGGCAAAGACTTCCTCCTGGTTTCTCTTGCCCTTAATTTAAAATAATCCATATGCCAAAGAGACATGTTTTGGTCCCTCCTTCATTGTATATGAAAGCCGGAGAGGAGACGGAAGTCAGATCACCAGGTGTGGTGTCCAGATGTCATTCTAAGAGTAGTGACACCTGGGAAGGCTGTGAGTCTAAGATCAAGGTCACCCATGCCTGTCTGAACCATCCTTAGGTGGCAGATAGGCAGAGAGTTGACTAGCAGCGGCTGGTCCATAGGGGTCACTATAAATCTCGAAAAGAGTGGTGAGGCTTTGGGCTAAGGCTGGAGTCCATGGAAAAGCAGAGGGCCGTAAGTACGGTTGGGGAAGGGGCTGCAGGGCTCTGGCTTGTCTTCTGGGTGTTCAAGAGGGAGAGGGCTGGGAAAGGAGTGACGGGAAGTTCACCCCCTCATCCCACTCTTCTCAGATACCTTGGCCTGCTCACCAGTGACTTCCGAGCTGCTGAGTCCTCAGTGGTTTCTGTCTGAGACTCAGTTGCCTCTGCTGCTGACTCTCTGGCCCCAACCCCGTTTTCTGCCACCTTCACACCCACTCATGGTTAGCTTGCCCTTAGAGTGAGACTGTCTCGAACCTGTCGGGGAGTGCTCCCCCCTGGCAGACCCCAGTTCCACTGCCCACTCCTATAGCTCATGCTGACTCCCAGGAAGCATCTGTTCCTCTCCCCTTACTTCCGGTCCCAGATGCCTGTTCTGGTCACAGCCCCCCATGGCATCTCACACTTACTACATCCACACCCAGCTCAGGCCTTCCCTGCCCAGATGGGCTCCTTCTGCATCACAGGAAGTAGTGTCCCCATCTGTGCGGTGGCTCAAGCCCCAGAGTCCTCTCTCTCTTCCCCTCGCTCCATCCCCTTCCTGCCCAGCCCATTTGACAGTCCTGCAAATGCTTCTCTTAGAATAGCTAATGACACCTCTAGTCCTGTACTGGAGAGGTGAGGCAGAGGATTGCTCTGAGTTCAGAGTCAACCTGGGCACACAGCGAGTTCAACACCCAGGACATAATGAAAGTCTGCCACAAACAAAACAAAATAATGCCTTGGCCGTGTGTCAGCAACCCGGGCAGCACACAAAAGGTCTCAAAAAAGGGAGGGGGTTCTTACGGCAAACAGCTGTCCGCTGGCTCTCCTCTGTTGCAATGCCTGTCCCACCCTGCCATCTACACCAGCAACCAAAAGGGTTGTTTATGCTTTGCTTTTGGTTTGCTTGGGGGTTTTGTTGGTTTGGTTGTTGTTTATTTATTTGTGACAGCTCTGTAGGGGAAGCTATCCTGAAACTCAGTTTCTCCTACCTCAGGCACTGTGGTTGTAGGTGTGTGCCCACATACCAGGCAGGAAAGTTCTTTTACAAATGTAACTTACATCTTTCAAAATGCATTGGTTATTGTGTGTGTGTGTGTGTGTGTGTGTGTGTGTGTGTGTGTGTGTGTGTGCAGGAGCCCATGAAGGCAGAAAGAGAGTGTCAGATCCCCTGGAGCTGGAGTTATGGGGTAGTGGTGAGCCCCATGTAGGTGTTGGGATCCGAACTTGAGTCCCCCGCCAGAGCAGCAAGTGCTCTAAACCACGGAGCCCTCTCTCCAGCCCCATAACTGACATCTTAACCTGCCTTGCTTTAAAACACTTCTCTGGCTTTCTCTTTCACACAGAGTAAAATCTGTTCTGCCCTCTAAGGGTTCTCAGCAAAGCCCTGGTCACCTTTTTACTTTTCTGCACTGACTTTCTCCTGGAGCCTAGAATTTGCATGTCATGGGCCCTCACTCAGTACAGGTGCATTTTGACCACGCAGCTCAGTGGCGTGGCTCCTGTGCAACTAGGTGGTGGACACTGGCGCCCGGAGGACAGCTAGGTTGACCCTTTGCCGGGTTACTTATTGGTGACTCCCTCTGCCCCGTCGAAGTTCAGAGAGAATCAAAACACGAATTTATAGTGGAGAGCCCGCTAGAGCCATGAAAGCATTCTTTTGACCAGAGGGAGAGAAGAGTGGGTGGGGGGAAGGGCTCGGGAATGATTATTTATTTGTTTGTTTGTTTGTTTGTTTGTTTGTTTGTCTGTTTAGGTTTTTTGAGACAGGGTTTCTCTGTAGCTTTGGAGCCTATCCTGGAACTAGCTCTTGTAGGCCTGCCTCTGCCTCCCAAGTGCTGGGATTAAAGGCGTGTGACACCGCCACCCGGCCTGATTTTTAAATCACAGCTCTTAGAAAAAAAGCGTCAGAAGTTTTTCTGGGGTGGGACCTGGGCTGTGACTTCTACTTTGAAGCCCTGGGTTCCATCGCCAGCACTGTAGAAAAGAAATTATGGAATTGTGTTCCCCTTCAGCCACCTCACACCGATATTAGGGAACTGCGTCCTTACTACCCCGTGTCCCCCATCCCTACCCACGCACTAGGGCTGTGCGCCTCCCCGTTTCTCCCACACTGAAACCCCACCACCAGGGCGCTTTACCCAGCCTCTTCCACCTATGTCCACCAGAGGGCGAGAAGGGCCGAGGCCATGCGGACCAACAGCTCCACAGTCAACAGGGAAGTTTGAAACCCTCGTTCATTTGTTGATTTTGGGTGTACATCTGCCCCCCCCCCCCCGAGATTATAGGAATTATTCTGTTGCCTAGGAGCCAGCCGCTTCCCCGCTCCACCCACAGGTTTCTATTTCAGCTCCCGTCTTCCGAGGGCAGCAGGGTGGAGCCCTACCTGTGTTCAGAGCGGGGCCGCGCACAGCGCAGGGCCGCGTACAGAGCGGGGCCGTCGTTCCCGTGCCGACTCTCTCCATCTGGCTCACTGATTCACAGGCAGGGGTGCGTGCAATCCTCCTAGGACTGAGCCCTCATTATCAGGCCCAGAGCGTTTCCATCGGGCCCCTTTGTCGTGGCTGAGATCACCACCCTCGTCTACTGGCTGGGAAAAGAGAACCAAAGAGGACAGATTTCCTCTGGAGGTGACACAGCCTTTCAGAAAGCTCTGGTGGAGGCTGCGTGTGCGGCCGTGCAGTTGTGCCATGGTCACACACACAGCATACAGGGGTCAGTTCTGCCCTTTCCACCATGTGGGTTCTGGGGGATCAAGCTCAGGTCACCAGGCTTGCGGGCAAGCACCTTTACCTGTTGAGTCACATTGCCAGACCGATGTACAGCCCAAGCTAGCCTTGAATTTATAATCCTCCTGCCACTTCCTCTTCAGTAGATCCTACCAGCTGGGCCACCACACACCCTCTCCTTTTCGTTACTGTTATTCGAAGAGACCATCGTAAGCCTGGAACTTGCCGCGCAACTGAGTATTGCATGAAACTCCTGGGTTCTTGCCTCCCTCTTATGTGCTGGGATGAAGGGCACAAGCCGTACCCTGGCAGAAACCCGGAATGTTGCACGGCTCTGAACGTCCTGCAGGGGGAGCTTTTCTGCTTGCTCTGTGGAGAACAGAGGGGTCAGGGAGGTTGAAGATAGATGACAGATAGATCCCAGTTCTCCCACCACACCTCACATGCTGCTCTGGTGTGAGCTGAGAATGCCTCAGTAGAATGTGTTTTAGCCGTCCGGGTTACAAACGAACACCCCCTTTCATCCGGAAATTCCTAGAGATTCTCTGAGTCCCCGGAAATCTTAAATGTCTGCCCGTGTCCGTTATTTTTCTATTGCTTCGCGGAAACACCGTGACCAAGGCAACTTATAGAATGAAGGGTGTTATCTGAGCTTCCAGTTCTAGAGAGAAGGCGTCCAGAATGGTGAGGGCAGCTGTGTTCAAAGGGGGCCAGATGGAGAGAGTCGGCCCGGGAACGACGGCCCTGCTCTGTACGCGGCCCTGCGCTGTGCGCCGCTCCCTCTGAACACAGCTGGCCACTGGAAACGGGGAGCTCAGCTCATCCCTAGAACTGCAGACACGAAGCAGAGAGAACTATCAGTGGCGCGAATCTAAAGTATCAAACGTCACCCCACTGGTGTACTTCCTCCAACAACTCCCCACCTCCTAAACTGCCCAGACTGTCACCTAGTATTCAAAAGCCTGAGACTACAAGGGCCACTGCCCTGGTGTGGCTGTATGTAGTCAGCGCGGACTGGAAAAGCGAGAGAATTCAAAGCCCCGAGTGCACACTAGTAAGGGACTGTTCAGTGGACTCCAAAAATCTAAAATGCTGCTGTCTGTGGGATGAGGGTCCAGGGACCCTGCAAGCACACACATTCCTGCCTCGGGAACCCCGAAGTGTATGCTCGCTTTGTACGCTGGCAGGTGAAGTGAGTCAAGTGTCTTCACCCACCCTTTCCTTCGTTCCCTGCAGCCTGGCTGTGGTGCCACCAGACTACCTGGTGACGGACAGACGGTGACTGGAGATGCCGCCTTGCAGGAGCCGCCCTCATACCCTCCCATTCAGGTCATCCAGGCCAGAGTGTCTTCCGGCAGCTCCTCCGAGGTCTCCTCCATCAACTCCGACCTGGAGGTACAGGGCCTGCCGGGTGGGCGGGTTCGCGGGTGTGTCATCTACCAACCCTTGCTGGGCCTCCTTGAGATTGGCGTGCTTTCTAACCCTGCCTTCTTAACCTCGAAGCTGCTAATCACGAATGAAGCCCTGCATGGCTCCCACGGTCTGTGGAGAAGCTTCTCAAACTCTATGGTTGGGATGGTCAAGGGAATACTGAGTGTTGGGGTCCATTTCTCCTAGATGCATATCCAGGTCCTTCCTACAGGAAAAAAAAAAAAAAAAAAGCAAGGGTAATCCCTTAAAAAGCCTCCATGGTTTAGGATGGGTGGCTTAGGCTGTAACACCAGCGCTCAGGCAGCTGAGGCATGAGGATCATGAGTTCAAATCCAGCCTGGGCTACGTATGAACCTGTTAGAAGGAAAGGAAAGAGGGAAAGAGAAGGGAAGGCAAGAAGGTTGGTACCAGTGTTTCCCTGCCCATCTGACCGTAGAAGAGTTTCTTTACCCCAAAGAAACGGGAACCCATGATGCCGGTGCTGACCCACATGGGCAGGACCTATGGGAAGCGGCATGCCTAGCCCCCATCTCACTTTGTGTCTGAACGGGATGCATGTCACACCAGGGATGCCGAGAGGCGTAGCTCCCACATGTTCTGTCACCCTAGATTCTGGTTCTGTAAATCCCAACCTCATTCAACAAGGGGGTTACATTCGTATGAGGCCAGAGGAGAGCAAGGACGGCATAGGGGTCACGTGTATGTTGAAGATGGTTGCCGTCTGGCATTTTTGGTGGAGGAATGACTGAATTTTGCATCCTAGGCTTTTGGGTGTTGAATGCCCCTTTGTGGGGTGATGGTAGTCAGCAGTAAGAACGCTGAGTTGTGGTTTGGGTTTGGTTTGATTTTTAATGCCCTTATTTGGCAAAATAATCATAATTTGCTCAGAATCTGAAAATTAGTCAGACTTATGCTGTACCCTGAAATCCAAAACTCAAGACCTTCTGACTGTGAGGTAAACCAGCTTCCTTAGTGTGATATTCCAGCCCTTTCTAGACTGTGCACAATGCTGTCTCTGTTTGTAACTAGTGTTCTGTCCTGGCCACTCCGTTCCCTGTCCCAGACCTCTGGACTGTTCTTCCTGGGTTCCCTCTAGCCCCATTTCCATGGGTCAGAATTTTACCCAGAGGCCTGCTTCTGTGAACTGTTACCCCAGGACCAGTGGCTCCCTCCACCAGCTGCCCAGAGCCTGTTGTCCTGCCCACGTCCATAGGTGACCACGGTCTGATGAGTGTGGGTGTCTCCCGGTCCCTCACTCCTAGAACAGCTGGTGGCTGAGAGCTGGGTTGTGCACCCACTGGGGCCTTATTCCTAAACTGAGTCTGGTAATGGTTGTGACCCCAAGAAGCCTGGAGCTGGCAGCCTCCACAGATGCCTGTGGCAGAAGGAACTGCAGAGCGAGCCCGGGGCAGACAGGGACAGGAGGGCCCACGGGGGAATAGGAAAATACTTACTCTGTGGACTCTCTCCCCGTCCTGCAAAAGCACTTGTTATCCGTCTTGGACATTGCTGGAGCCTGCCCTTGTCGCTGGTCTGGGCCGCTTCTCTGCCCCTTCTTTCCCTCCTTTACAGTCTCACAGTCTTTAGAAGTCCATTGCTTAAAAGCAGGGACATCCTTGCTGTGTTGGTATCTCATGCCCGCAATCCCAGCACTCAGGCAACTAAAGCTGGAGGACCACTGAAGGTTCGAGACCAGCCTGGACTACACAGGGAGATCCTGACTCAACACAAAACAGGAAGTGAAATATATGTTAATTCTTCGAGTCCACACTAAGCAAGTGGCCCTGGCTGTGTCTGCCCACATTAAATGATTAATTTGTAAATCGGGTGGTAGTGGTGAACATCTTTAATCCCAGCACTCAGGGGGGGGGGGGGCAGAAGCAGGTGGATCTCTGAGAGTTCCAGGCCAGCCTGGTACAGAGTGAGTTTCAGGACAGCCAGGACTTACACAGAGAAACCCTGTCTCTCAAAAAAACAAACAACAAACAAAATTCTCATCCTTTCTATTTCCCCATTGCTTTGTTTATTTCTGGGGACGGAACCCACAGAACTGAGCAGCCTACAGGAGCACCCTGCTGTTGAGCCATTATCAGACCCGTGTCTTCTAAAAACTCATTCAGTACTCGGGACTACGCTGCTCCGAATGAGCTTGTCCCCCATAGGTTCATAGATTTAAATGCTTTCTTCCCAGTTGGTGGCTCTATTTGGGAAGGGTTAGGAGCGTGACCTTGGTGGAGAAGGCGTGTCACTGGTGTGGACTTGTGTCTCCCTCTGCCTCATGCTTGTGCCTCAAGATGTGGGCTCTCAGCTGCTCCAGCACCATGCCAGCCTGTCTGTGTGGTGAGATGCCGTGTAATACACATGTGGAGGGCAGAAAATATGGAGCGCATAAAGAGAGTGAAGAAGAAAATTAAAATCAAGCACTTGACTCACTAACCAACTGTCACCTCCTCCATGCCGTTGGTTTGGGGAGCCGTGTTCCTTAAAGAACTTGGTTTGTTGGCTACTAAGTGAGATCAGAAAGGCGGCTGTTAGCAGATGATGCAACCATACACTTTACCTCGGCTTCTGGTCAGTCATTCAATAAACATTTTCTGAGCGTGGGCATTTGAAGGAAAAATACACAAGGCCAAAGGGACTGGCCTGAACCTGCCCACAGGCAGGCAACTGCAGTGCCTCTTGGCCACAGTGACTCAGATCCTCTTTGCACATGCCCTCAAATGGACGTGGGGGTCAGAGTCAGGTCTCACCTCTCTCATCCCTAAGCTGGTATCATCCACATACTCAATAGCATGCAGCTCGGACATCCAGGGTAGCTCTCCTCCCTCTTGGGAAGCCTCTGCCCCTGCCCTGCCCCTCCTCTCTGCATGCTACTGAGTGTCCTTCTCCCATCTCCCTGGCTTGAATCTGTCAATCATCACCCAGGCTTCACTTTGATCCCATTTGATGCAATCTAGGAGAATCATACTTATTTGTCTCTCTCTGGCCAATGTGAAAATGTGAACCCTGGAAAGTCTGGTACCATCTTACTTCCCTGGCCTTGGGGACAGTCACTTCTCCTCAAATATAGGAGGGAGAAGTTAGACAGATGGTCTCCAAGAGTGAACCACAGTTCCCACAGTCTGTACCTTAGACCTAGAAGGTGGCCTTATTTCCTCAACACTTTTAGCGCCCCCTTCATCCTCAGGAATAGAAGAAATGATACCACCTGCTGTGCAGACAAGAGCTAGCCCATGCTTCTTGGTTTCAGAAACACGAGAAAGCATGTTTTAGGAAGCTTGTGAGTTGAAACACTGTGTGCTATGTTCCCAGGATCATGGTCCTGAAAATTAGCCGAGAATGCATGGAGCCAGGTATGGTGGCCGCACCTGAAGGTCTAGTCCTTGGGACTCGGATGCTGGTTCAGTGACACATCAAGATCCTGTCCCAGAGGATAAAGACTGTGGACCTGTTTATTGTGTACAAAAGGGACAAAGATTCCGCACAGTTTGATCTTATTGCAGTGTACATAGAATACACATATGGCATCATTATACGTACAGCGTAACTGTGATAATTGTTCTCAGAAGGTTATTCAATAACTGTTCAGAGAGAAAATCTCCCAAGGATAGAATATGGACCACGCTTGCATGCACACGTGTCTCTGTGTGTGTGTGTGTGTGTACTTTTAAACATTTATTTCTATTTTTATGTGTATGAACATTTTCCTGCATGTGTCTTTGTACCACATGCATGCAGTGCCTGAAGAGTCCAGTAGAGGGCACTGTATCCCCTGGAGTTAAGTGAAGCACCATGTTGGTGTTGGGAATCAAACCTGGGTCTTCTAGAAGAGGTGTTGTTGCTCTTAACTGTTGAGTCATCTTTCCAGTCCCTGGTGTGTATATATTTTATTTTGAGGAGTCTTTTTTTTTTTTTGAGTCCTATGTAGCCTAGGTTATGTAACTGAGGGTGGCCTTGAAGACTTCCGATTCTCCTCCTTCACCTCCTAGTGCCAGCTGGGATGTTTTGTTTTGTTTTATTTTTTCTGTGAGAAAAAAAAGCATCTTTTTATTTTCTTTTGTTGTTATTCTTGAAATAGGGGAAAGGCCTAAAACATTTTATTTATTGTTAGTCTTTTGGGAGGAGAGACTTCTGTTACAAAGATTTGAGTTAACTGGGCTTAGGATTTTGTAATCATTGGCTTAAAATGATGATTTATAAGCCAGGTGTGGTGTTGCTTGTAATCCCAGCACTACAGGCAGAGGCAGGAGGGGTGCCTGTTTGAGGTTAGTTTGAGCTACATTACCCGGTCTTAAAAACAAACAAAAAAAAAACCCACTAACTACTCCTTCCAGCAGAGGGCGCTCTTCTTAAATTTTATGCTGTCCCTGGTGTAGGCCGCTTGGAATGACTTTCAAAGTTTCATTTCCACCCAGCTGGGAGACCCAAGCCTACTTATTGGTTTGCTTGGCTTTAAATAAACTTTTTATTCTGGAATAATTTTGGATGTACAGAATTTTCTTTTTTTCAAAATTAGCACAAATTTCCCATGTGCCCTTTTTCGCCCAGCTGCCTCTGTTAGCGTCTTACACAACATGCTACATTTAGCAAAGCTAAGAAATGAACTCAGTATGTTTCTACCAGCTGGAGTCCAGGCTCTGCTTGGATCTCGGCAGTTGCCCAGCGGCTGGATTTGGTCCAGGACAGCGCACAGCACTCTGAGACATTCCTTAAAGGACTGAGCGCACGTTAACTGTAACACCGCAAACGGCCGTTTACATGTTGTGGGAATGTCCGTATTTCTCTAAGGAAAAGCAAAGCGCTTTTGAATTTGACTTCTCTTCTCATTCCCATCATACCTTCAAGTTATGGAGCTTTCTCGGCGCCTGCGTTATACCAGTTTAGTAGTTTGTACCTCTTCCAATGCATGTTTTCCACTTGTTTCCGAGAAGAAAGTCATGTAAAGCTGGGTGGAGTCGCTGGCTGCAGTGTGTCTATGCTGCTGATTTGTTTCTGAACGTTTCCTCTCCCTTAGGGAGAAAGAAAGGTGACCATTGGCAGGGAGGAGGCAGGGAGGAGGATGAACAACAATGATAGATATATATTCCAGCTTAGAAAGGAAGGTGCATGTCAGCCAATCATAGTGATGCAAGCCTGTAATCCCAGCGCTGGGGAGGCTGAGGCAGGAGGATGACATGTTTCATGCCAGCCTCTGCTACACCCTGAGAGCCAGTTACACAGAACGGACTTAAATGATTGAAAATAAAAAGACGAATGGCAGCTAGGGGTGCAGCTCTGGGAGCGTTAATGCACAGGCCAGGTTTGGTGCGTCACCTAACATCCCAGCTCTTGAGGCTGCCACATGTTCAAGGCCAATCTGAGCTATACTATGAGACCTCATCTCATAAAAAAATAAAATAAAATAAAAAAAAGGAAAGAAAAGAAAACTGAGGTTTAGCATGCGTGAGGCCCTGAGTTTCAGGATAAGTACCCCCTCTCTGCAAAATGAGATGATTGCTAAGGATTCTGCACTGAGGTTAGCTGGGGCTACTTGGAGATTGTATTAGGTTTAGTCATGACATTGGAATAAGGATTTATCTACAGAAGCATTCTAAGTTATTCGCAAATAAAAATGATTTACTTTAAGACACCAGATTAGAAGATGGGGAGCAGGCGGTCCCGCTGGCATTCGTTATTCTTTTGCCTTTGTGTATGGCTAAAATACCCTATCATTAAAGCATTGAAAATGTAAAGAGTTGGCCAAGCCAGGTCTGTCATCACACGCTAGTGACCCAGCATTTGGGAGGTGAAGGGAGGAGGATGGAGGCCAGCCTCAGCTGTACAGCGAGTTTGAGGCCAGCCTTGCCTACGGGAGATCCTGTCTCAAACAAACAAAACCAAAAACCGAAACACAACAAAAGACTCGAACAGAAGAAGCTTTGTTTCTGAAGTCCATCGCCTGCGGCGTTGTCTACTAGACACCACAAACAGCCTGTCAGCTTAGACTCCTAGCACTTGGGTCAGAAACGCAGGCCTTTGGGAACCGAATGGAGAGCTGAGGAGCGAGGCAGACAGTCTGCACTTGCTCCTGCAGGATCCTGAGTCAGGCATATTTGAGGCTTGGAGTGGAACCAGCCATGCAGCAGATGCCAAGTAAGGGAGAGTGTGAGCTGCTTGGCAAAGCCCAGGGGTGGAGTTTTTATTTGCGCCTCTTTCTTAAGAGGTTTACGGGTTTGCATTGGCTCATCCCTGCTATGTGGTTAATAAATAGAAGATTTACTGTTATTATTACTATTATTAGAACCGCCACCACTACCACCCGTAATTTCTAATTATAGTAATTGTGAAGTGTCTGGGAGTCGTTTCTTCCAGAACCCCAGCCCTGCATAACCATGGTGGGCTTATTTTATTTGATCATTTAACTAACTTACTAAATGAATTACTCTGCTAATAGCGACCGCCTTCTGCTTGCTGGAACCTTGTCTTTCCCCCCACCCCCACCCCGCAGTCATCCAAGGCTCTGACTCCCGGCTCTGAGCTCAGGGGCTGGCTCTGGGCTCTGCTCTGTGGCCCAGGATGGGGTCTGTTCAACACTCTGTCTCTCTTTTTATCCTACAGCAGAAGTATTGGGAAGCCCTAAACTCGGAGCAGGTACGGACAAGCACTTGGTTTCTTTCTGGAGGGACTCCCTCTTGGATGGAGGACATGATAGTTTTTTGGGTTTTTTGTTGTTGTTTAAAAAAGGGCGGGGGGGGGGGGGCTGTGGGCTGGAGATGCAATTCAAAAGAGGGCCTGCCCGGTACAGCCTACTCCCAGCACTGCAAAGTGAATACATGAGAAACAAGAAAGCTCGGGAGGATAGTCTGGCGACCCGTGGGGCTCGAGGACTATCTTTACAAGGTCTTTTCTGCACTGGGAAGTATTCAGAACCAACTGACTCAACTGGGGAAGAATTCAGTATAACCCAATGAGGAAACCCAGTCTGTCAGGGTCTGTGAGCTGTGGAGTAGCTGCAGGTCGCGTGTGGTATTTGGGGTGTGGCTGCAGCGGTTATGAGAAACAGCCTCACACCACACGTTGGCCATTGTCTTTCTGAGACCGCATGCAGCTGGCAGTCTCCTCGCTGGCAATAACAGATAAGCATATTTGGTGACAGCTACCTGTGCCTGTCATCACCCAGAACTGTTCGTGACACAAATTCATGCTCTGCCTTTTTTTAATTTTCCTTTTTTTGTCTTTTGTTTTATTTTTTTAAATATTTATTTATTATGTATACAATATTCTGTCGGTGTGTGTGCCTGCAGGCAGAAGATGGCACCAGATCTCATTATAGATGGCTGTGAGCCACCAAGTGGTTGCTGGGAATTGAACTCAGGACCCTTGGAAGAGCAGGCAATGCTCTTAACCTCCGAGCCATCTCTCCAGCCCCCTTTTGTTTTATATTTTGAGACAGGTTTTCTTTCTGTATTCCTGGCTGTCCTGGAACTCACTTTGTAGACCAGGCTGGCCTCGAACTCACAGAGCTCCACCTGGCTTTGCCTCCCGAATGCTAGGATTAAAGGCATGAGCTACCACCGTCCTGGCTTTATGCCTTCTTCTAATTATTTTTTATTGCTCAAAGCAGCTCAACACATTGTCCTACAGAAAGCAGACTCTAAATGCCTTCTAAGATGTAATCTACATTAAAGGGCTCACCCGCTCAGAGCGCTCAGACTTTCTGTTCATGAGCATGTGAGTCCATCAAGGTTAGCAAGAACAATTTACGCAGTATTCAGAGGTGGAACGGCGGTGTTCGAACATCTAGGAAACACTGCAGTGACTTGTTAAGATGTTAACTCGTGAGTCTCAGCCCACCAACCATGGCTGCAGAGCCTGTGGCGTCCGTTCAATGACTCCTGGAGCATTGTCAGTCCAGAGCGTGTTCTGAGATGTCAGATCTAGGACTGAGGTCTGCGCTTGCCCACTGTGTTCATCGAAAGTGCCCTGGCCATCCTTAGAGGACAGAACAGGCCCCTGCTGCTGAGCAGGTGGCTCTGAGGCTAAGAGCAACTGAGTTATTTTATGTAGAATCTTTAGTGTCTGGAAAGGGTTTGGTTAGAGGTGCCACGTCTGCAGTCACAACTACACAAGAAGTTTGCACAAGCCCAGATAGGTACAGAGCGCTGAGCTGCAGGAACCGAGTTATCTCAGTGCCAGATCTGCGGGGTCGCTGGGCTGCAGGAGTCTTTTTAACATGGTGTGTGTGTGAGTTTTTGTGTGTGTATGCCTGTGTGTGAGTGCATGCATGTGTTTTGTGTGTGTGCATGTGTGTATATGTGTGTGCCTGTGTGTGTATGTCTGTGTGTGCATGTGTGTATGCCTGTGTGTGTGTGCATGCGTTTGTGTGTGTGCATGTGTGTGCGTGAGAGAGAGAGACAGAGAGAGCAGGCACTCATGGAGGTTAACAGAGAGTTCTCTCCCTTCACATGGTCTCAGGGGTCAGATCCGTACTGTCAGACTTGGCAGCATGCACCTTTTACCCACTAAGCCACCTCACTGGCTCTCAAGTGGTGAAGTGGCTTTCTAAATATATATATTGCTGGGTGGTGGTGACGCACACCTTTAATCCCAGCACTCATGAGGCAGAGGCAGGCGGATCTCTGTGAGTTCAAAGCCAACCTGGTCTACAGAGTGCATTCCAGGATAACTAGGGCTATAACACAGTGAAACCCTGTCTCGAAAACAACAACAAAAAATTGTGTGTATGGAAAATTTTTGCCTGCATGTATGTCTGTGTACCACATGTATGCAGTGCCAAAAGAGCCAGAAAGGGGGATGGGATCAGATCTCTGGAATTAGAGTTACAGATGGTTGTAACAATGTAGGTGCTAGGAATGGAACTTGAGTCCTCTGGAAGAGCAGCAAGAGCTCTTACTGCTAAGCCATCTCTGGCCCGGAGCTGGCCTTTAAGCACTATAATCCTAGCACTCGGGAGGCAGAGGCAGTTCTAGGCCAGCCAGGTCTACAAAAGGAGTTCCAGGACAGGTACCAAAGCTATATAGAGAAACCCTGCCTCGAAAGGAAAAAAAAAAGTTGACCTTAGACATGTCTGCTCAGCCTCAAGCCGAGAGGAAAGACTTCATGGGGCAAAGGCGCAGCTCTGCTCGGCTCCTCAGGAACTCAGCATCTCCAGCAGGGCCAGGAAGATGTTCAAGGAGAGACTAGAGCTGCCCATAAGCAGATACGAATGAGTGGTGGAGCCATATCCAGTAGGGCTGAGAGCTCCCCGATAAAGCTTCAGAGAGTAACACTTGCTCCGGAAGAGCTGCTTCCATGGGCTGGAAAGGGAATTGAGTCTCTCTGCTCTCTTCCAGAGTGTTCCAAGGGCACTTGGGGGAAAGGCTTGGTGAGGGAAGTAATGGGGGAGATGGCAAGGGATGTGGGGCTAGTCTGCCCAGGGTGAGGGTGGCTGTTCTTTCATTCCTTCATTTAATGCTACACTGTGTGGGGGTCGTAATGCCAGTGTGAGGACAGGAGACGTAACAGTGGTAGAACACTTGCCTGGCATGCTCAAGGCCCTGAGTTCCATCCCAAGACCACCAAAATTAGTATATTCCTCTAATTGTAGAACACAGGCCGGGCTAGCTTGTGCTTACTGACTTCCCCTTGTCTTTGCTTGGGTCATGAGACCCAGGGTTGGGCTGTCATCTGGGGGTGGCCAGGCTGGAATAGTTGCAAAGGATCTGTCGCACCAAGATACCTTTTCTGTGTCGTCTCTACAGTGGGACCCTGAAGATGTCAACCTTGAAAGGAACAAGGACAACGTGGAGTTTGTTAGCTCACAGATGCACAGGGGCTCTTTGACTCCAGTGGATTTGACCTCTGACGACTGACCTCTCCAGAGCCAGTTCACCAGCTCAGAACTCAAGGTCAGGCATCTGCCAGTGGGACAACCTACAGTGCCACCCCTGGCAGAAGCAGAAGCTGCTGCAGAAGCTTTCCAAGGAGTGAGGACCCCCAAGCTGTCACTTGGCTTGGCTTGTCTACTCCATGGCTCAGAATGGAGCTAAGGCTGTGGGGCCACTAGACAGAGCTGCACAGGCCACCATTACTCTGATGATGAGAAGTTCGCAGATGAATCCTGTTTGTAAAGATAAGCTTCCTCCCAAAGGACATGGGGTCTATTGCCATGAGAGTCAAGCGTAAATACTGTTTGCTTAATAAGAGGGTCGGACTCGCCAAGTGCTACTGTTTGGACCTCAAAAGAATGCATTTGAGATTCAACTTAGCTCTGATGAGAGACTGGGCCCACAAGCTAGGGGACCTGGGCACATGCACAGGGACTGGCTTCTGCTGTCCAGTGCCTTCCATAGCTGCCACCACACGTTATATAGGACTGCCTGGTCAACTGAGCATTTGAAAGACATTGGCAGGGCAAGGACAACTGCTACGTGATCTTGGGAACAGGACCCCCTCCAGCGTGGCCAAGTCTGGGCTGGGTTCGCACAGTATGGGGTCTCATGTGCACGCAGGGGATACGGACACAAAGCAACGAGTGGTTTCAAGTATGGCGAGGCCATCGAAGGGTGGTTTTGATACCATGACCGTGATGAGTGAGGGGAAGAATGAAGGGAATGGGGTCAGGCGGGAGTGAACACTGGGTTGAGTGGATTAAAATATCTCAAGGTGGAGAACAGGAATAAGTCTGAATCCTAGCACAGAATTCTGCCACGAGGGGAACTGGGAGAAATGCCAAGAAACACAGCTCTGCTCGCAGCTGGCCCGTGACTGCCTGTGACTCAGCTGCAGCTGCCCAGTGTCTCCTTAGGGGCAATACAAATCCCCATGGTGTGAAGAACCGGGTGCTGGTGGAAGGGGTTGATTGTGCAGGTTTCCGCAGAGTGCCTAATGCCCTGTGACCTCTAAGCCAGAATTCAAAGCTGCTTTATCTGCTTTGAGCCCTTAGTTTTCTAGTGAGGGAGCTTGCCGAAGTCGGTGTTGCTTTGCCGTCTTCAGTCCTGCAGCTACTTTGAGGAAAGAGGATCATTGGGGCCCGGGGTGAAATGGAACATTCCAGCCCAGATCATAGCATAGAGGCAGTGAAGGGTGCGATCTAGTCAAGGAAGAAGCCTGGCATGGCCAGCATGGCTGGAGCCATATAATTTTGAAAAGAGAGAGCTGGGAAAGAATCAGGCTATGGAGACTAGGGTGTTAGTACCGAACGCTGTAACCATGCAAGAAGAAACCAAAAGAGGAAGGTGACTGACTTGCTCAAGTAGACTACAGTTAGTGAGTTTCTCATCCTTGAATTTTCATAAAGCAGAAATGTAATCATGGGTGCAGAGTGAACATGAGACACACGATTAAAGTATATTTCTTTAAAAAGGGGAGGGGGACTGTAAGAGGCCAAGATAACCTCCAGATCATGACCCCCGTCCTGCCCCTGCTTTCCAAGTGCTGGGATTCCAGGCCTGAGTCATTGCCGCCTCGCACTTTATAGATGAGGAAACATGTCTAGAAACTAACCAGAGTATTTGCCCACAGGTAGAAGTGGCCGTAATAATGACAGTGCAGGCCCTACTTGAACTCCTGGAGTCTGGGCATGCTATCTGTCCTGACGTCTGTATGATTTAGGGAGTGCTCTGATTACTACATTCTCTTAAAAGCTTGCCTGGGGGCCTGGGGCTCGGTTGGGTGAAGGCTTTCCTAACATGCACGAGCCCCTGGCTTCTGTCCTCAGTACAGCATGAAGGAGGTATAATGACGCACCTGGAATTGGGAGCGGAGCAGCAGGGTTAGAAGTTGAAGATTATCTACAGCAAAGGTCAGCACGGGATGTCTGAGACCCTGTCTCAAGGGAGGAAGGTAAAATACAACAGTATAGATCTTAAGAACTAATCACTTTCAACCCATCCAGACAGAGGTTTAATGAGGACGAGGACCATCTGATGATGTATGCACATCTGTTTCCATGAGAAATGAGTTACTAGCTTAAGGCGGCTCTGGGCCCAAGAGCATGACCAGTCTCCCATTCCTGGGGCTGCGTCAGTATGCTGTCCTCTTTCTGGGTCACAGTTTCCCCATCTATAACAAGAAAGGCCAAGCATGGTGGCTCACACTTGGGAAGCTGGGACAGGAGGACTTCCACAAGTTCAAGGTTAGCCTGGCTATCAAGACCAGGTCTCAAAAGACCAACAAACCAGGCTGAATGTGGTGGCATATGCCTTTAATCCCAGTACCCAGGGGACAGAAGCAGGAGAATCTCTGTGAGTCCGAGGCCAGCTTGGTCCAGGGCAATATAGTGAAACCCTACCTGAAACAAAACAACCAACCACCACTGACCTGGGCTACGGCTACAGCTCAACGCTGGAGTACTTGTCTAGCATGCATGGGCCCTTGGGTTTCATCCCTTCCATTTTCCTTTCATGAATATGCCAGTTAGCATTTCATACATAAGACTGACTTTATAAACAGAAAGAGATGTTATATGAAGGGAGATTTCATATACACCTTGAAAATAGGTATCACTATATAGTATATACTTTTGCTTCAATTTGTTATTTTTTGTGTATGTTGCAGCTGCACCAAGGAGCATGTATGGGGGTCAGAGTGACAACCTGCAGGTGTCAGTCCTCTCTCCACCATGTGGGTTTTGAGAATCGAATCAGGTTTCAGTTTTAGCAGCAAGCAGCTTTACCAGCTATACCCCACCACCACCTCCTGCTTCTATTTCACTACCCATTTAAGAGAAATACTAAAGCTAAGATATAGCTGAGTGGGATAGTAAGTGCTTGGCACGCCGGGCGGTGGTGGCACTCGCCTATAATCCCAGCACTTAGGAGGCAAAGGCAGGCGGATATCAGTGAGTCTGAAGCCAGCATGGTCTACAAGGCGAGTTCCAGGTCAGTCAGGACTACACAGAGAAACTCTTGACTCGAAAAACCAAGAGGGGGGAGGTGAACGCGTGGAATGCGCAAGACCCTGAGTTCAATTTCCAGCATCAAAAAAGTCAAAACCTTCTCAATACTTTAAAAGTTCTATGCGATTCCCTCCTTCACGTTCTGCAACGTGAACAGACATTAATCTGTATTCTTCCGCGCTCTCATCCTTTCTGAAGCTAAAAGGCCCATGCATGGTAACTGATGCTTCCGAGCAGGGTAGGTCGTTAAACTCCTAGGTTCCTGCTCCAGTCGCACCGGAACCCTGCGGGTCGCGGCCAGTGTTGGTGGCGGAGGCCCGCCTGTTTCTTCGTATCCCCCAGGGTCTGCAAGGCTCACTCTCCGAGGTCGTCGCAGCAGTGTCCTCTGGCAGCAGGGCTGCAATGAGCGGAACTAAACCGAAATAACAACTCCACTTGGGGCCATTTGCTCCACCGTGGGGCACTTCCGGAAAGAAAGGAAACCCGCAAAGCTGGCGCATGCGCATACCCTGCAGCCACCGCCTCTGCGAGCCACGCAGACTCATGTACTCTGCCTGGGTGTCTCTGGCATCTCCCACTAGGTTTTTAAAAAGATAGTTCCAAGGCTGTTTTTGTCGTGCACTTGCGACTCACCGATAGCCTAAAGCTGTACTGCAAACCATTCTACCTAAGTACATTCAACTTTTTTTTTTTTTTTTAAAAAAAAGCGCAGGTGCATGATTTAACAAAAGAAAATCAGATCGTGCCAAAGTTTATAAGGAAGACAACAGTGCTCTGCCCACTCCCAACAGCCCCACTTTCATCTTCCATTTGGGTGTTTTGTTTTGCCGTCAGAAACAGACACTCGTGTCTTTGCACAATGTCAAAATGTATTCAGTAAGAGTAAATTCAAAACCTACTCGGAAGTCTAGATTTCCCTTGGTAGCAGACACCTGGTAAACACAGGTTTGTTTGTTTTATTTTGACCTTAATTGCTAACAATAACTCTCAGATCACACACTGCCTATCACCATGTAATTGTATATCTGCTGTATGTGTGAGATACAGAATAGGTACAGGGACGGCAGAGTCGGGCTTCGCTGGAGGCAGAGGCAGACAGCTGGTACCAATGCAGCGTTATGGCAGATGATTAGATAGATAGATAGATAGATAGATAGATAGATAGATAGATAGATAGATAGATAGATAGATAGACAGACAGACAGACAGGTGGGTGGAGAGAGAGAGAGAGAGAGAGAGAGAGAGAGAGAGAGAGAGA